TTCCACAAAATAACACGGCCTGGGCGAGTGTATTTTGAAGAAGTGGCATTAGAAGTTTAAGTTTAAAAAATTTGGCTCTCAAAAGAAATTTCAATCGTTGTACTGTTGACATTTGGCTCTGTTGACTAATGAGTTTGCTGACCACTGGCCTAAGCCACCTTTGCAGAATGTGAAGTGGAATTGTGTCATCCCTACTGGTAGCTTCCCATTGCTCATGGCTGTGGCTTGCAAGTCCCACACAGTCTGGCTACCGCCCACCCCACTGACCTCTCCTGCCACAACAGCCTCCTTTTAGCTGTTGGAACAACCAACTCTCTCCGCCCAACAGCCTTGGCATTGGCAGTTTCTCTGCCCGGATAGCTCTTCTCCAGGTCTTCATGTCTGGCTCCTATCAATTTAGAGCTCAGAGGGCCTTCTGTGACCTCCATCTGAAGCAGCCCATCTCTATTCTGTGTCACTGACTCGATAGACATTTATTGGGCACCTACTAAATGCTAGGTGCTATTCTAAGTGCTGAGGAAACAGCTGTGAACACAATGCGGATGCTCAAGTACTTACCTGCCTTCATAGCGCTAAAAAAAATCTGATTATCTTGTTTGGGAACCTGCTTGTCCTTCTTACCAAGCGACATGAGGGCTGGGGCTAAGTCTGTCTTGTTCATCGTGTTCATCCACCAGGCACAGTAGATACTCAGTTTGTTCAATAAAAGAACGGATGGAAGGATGGAAGGAAGGCAGGCAGACTGGGTAGTGACAGAGAGTAGCTCAAAAAAAAGCTTTCTTCAAAAAAAATTCACTCTTAGCCCCTCAGAGAACTCCTGCTTTCCCTCCCCCCATTATTGGCAGTAGATTCTGCCCCACCCTAAGTCACCTGACTAAGGTATCTTATCTTAGGAAGACCACAGAGCAGAGGTGTTAATCCAGCCAGCTTGGAGTGAGTGGCATTAGTGTGTTTTCCAAAAGCCCTTGCCCAATGTCTCAGTATGCCTCTTCCTTTGCCACTCAGACCCTGTGCCCTGTGACACTCAGCACTGGCCAGCTGAGGGGCTCCAGCCAAGGAGTCCCCACGTGCCCTGTGAACCCTCAGCACACCCAACAGTCTGCCTGTCTCTCCCATCTAGTCCAGCTGCCTATCTTCCTTTTGTGTGTGTGTGGTTTTGTTTGTGTCTTTTCTTTTTATTTATCTGCCTCTCTTCCTTGATGTATTACTTTGGCCAAGATTTTCTCCTTTCTGGATTTTCATTTCTCTCCCACCAGCAAGCATGTGGGGCTGGACACAGATACCTGGTTGCAGCCCCGAGGCAGGACTTGAACACCTTAGTGCAATGATCCTGTGGTTTCTTCTGCATGCCCAATAGCCCCCTGAGATCTTGCAAACACACAGGCAAAGTCGCCACTCCTTCCCCATCCTGTCCCTGTCCCCAGTCTCTCCCTCCTCCCTCCCCCCCATGAAGGCAGCTTGTGAAACTGGCAGCCCTTGCAGTTTCACCCTGAAACCTGACTCCAAGTCAGCAGCAAACCCAAGGCCAAAAATATAAGGTTCTTTGCTAAAGGAGGTTTCTCCTCTTAAAACCCCAGCCAGAAGTCCTTGCTCTCAGGCTCCAAGAGGCCACAAGACAAAGGTGACCAGTGCCTGGATTCCTATCTTTTGGGACACTCCAGCTCTTTATCCTTCCAGGACTAGTGAGAATTCCTACACGCCCTCTCTCCCCCCCCCCCCCCCCCCCCCGCCAAAAAAAAAATAAAAAAATCAAGGTCATCTTCAAGCTAGACTGAGGATAGGGGGAGGAGCTGACAGCTCTGCCTCCAATGGATTTGGGTGCAAAGGTTTTTTTCCCCATAAGCTGTGGCAATTGGCAGCATGGCTAACCCAAACACTTCTTTGGCCCTGCCTCCTTTCCCTCTTCAACAGCTGTCACCTTCCTTAGGGGAAATCTTCCAACCCCCAACCAAGGGCCTAAGGAGTCCAGCCATTCCTGGCATCCCAAAAGACCTGGAGGAGACGGTGGATGGAGGAATGAATCAGGAGCCTGGGGGAGGGGTGTGTGTCCGGCTTGGGGAGGCCTCCCCCTTCCTCCCCAGGTCCCCGATCCGTCCTCATCCCGCACAGAGGGCACTTACAAGCCTCGGAGGAGGCCGGAGAGGACCTCGTCCTAGAGGTCCCGTCCCCGGCCAAACGGTGCCCTCAACCAGCAGCAGCAGCAGCGGCGGCATGTTGTGGGCGGCTGGTCCCGGCGGAAGGTTGCGGGTTGAGGTGGGGGGAGGTAAGCGGGGAGGAGCGAGGCCTACTCCAAGTAACCATCGAAGACGTCGAGTTCTGAGTCGGCATCGTAGAGGCCCAAGCCCGGGTCGGAGAGCACGCCGAGGTCCACGAGCGCCTGGTCCATGTCCTCGGGCAGGAAGACGAGGCCCACGTTGAGGACGATGTACTCCATGAGGAAGGCGTAGTACAGGATCAGCACGTTGACGAAGAAGAGGCCCACGTAGAACATAGAGGGCAGCAGCGGCGGGGGCACGTAGGGGCTCAGGGGGCCCAGCACGTCCAGGTGGGCCGCGACCCGGGCACTGGGCATGCAGGGGACGGCGAGGGCGGCAGCGGCCCGGAGATCCCGGCGAGCTCAGCCGCTGTGGCGCCCGGGCGGCCGGCGAGGGGGCAGCTCAGCCATTCAGGGACGCCCTGCGGCTCGACCGAGGCGGCGCTGGTTTCCGGCGGTGAAACGTGCCTCCGAAACGTGCGTGGAGGGATCCCCGGACCCCCAGAGGTGCCCACACAGCCCTCTCGATTCGCTCCGCGGCCAGGCGGGTCCCCCCTCCGAGTGTCCGGTGGCTATCTGGCTCCTCCGATGAGCCCTCCTCGCAACCACGGACCCTCTCAAAGCCGGCCAGGAGCCCACCGCGGCTCAGCGTCGAGGGCCAGTCCCGGAGGCAGCCTCTCCAGGTCGGCCCGGCAGTTCCTCGAGCCCCATTTGTGCCTCCTCCGGCTCGGCGCCCATGGCTGCAGCCGCCGCGTCGCCCTGCTGGTCCCGTTCCGAGCTCCGCCTCCTGAGAGAACCCGTGCTCATTGGCCGGCCGCCCCCTGTCCGCACTCATTGGCCGGCCGCCCCCCGAACGCGCTCATTGGCCCAAGCTGTCTGGGGGCGGGTACTTGTCAGCCTAGTGCCTGGGGGCGGCGCTGGCCTCTGAGTTGCTTTCCTGGTTCTGGACTCCGCCTGCACCTCAAATCCAATTCGCTTCTTTAAACGCCTCTCGGAGTAGGGGGACTGGAAAGAAACCCGACACAATTCAAACTTAGAGGCGACGAAAGCTGAAGGAAACCGCGAGCTCTCTCTGCACCCTGCTGGACTTGAATATGACGCCACGTCTTTCTGTGACTCAGTTTACCAGATGAAAAAGGAGGCGGGGTAGGGGAGGGGTGGTGGACTTTTAAATAGTGAAAATCTTGAACTTTCTCAAAGGCCCAGTTTTGTTTGTTTGTTTGTTTTTTAATGGTGGTGATAAGCAACCAATGTCCCCTTGGTTTCCAAATTCTGGCTGCAGGAAGGTCTGCCTACTGTGGAGAGTTCTGCATCGTCGTGTTCAGGGACACCTGAGTAAAGAGATGTCCAGCAGGTCGGACCTTTAGTCAGTAGGGTTGCATTATTGTTTTAAAACTTGGCTTACAAAGTACAAAGAAATAAGAAGCAACCCAAGAAGTACACAAAAACTGAACCCCCTTCTCATGGAGAACCCTTATACATCGTTCAGGAGGCTGATTTTGCCCACAGGGCCTTCCAAAGCTGTTCCATGAACTACTAAATCTCAGGCCACTGAGCTGGGTGCTTTACATGCATTACTTATTAGACAGGGCAGTGTAGTAAGTTACACTTTTTTACAGATGAGGAAACCAAGACCCAGAGAAATGGTGGGGCCCTAGAAGCTGATTAGCCTGCCTGTGTCCAGAGGCCAGAACCTGCCCCCTCCCACCCTTTTCCCCTCCATGACTGTTTCTTTAGATGTAAATCTCCTTTAGATGAATTACACAGCAAAACCATTAATCCTTCACTAGTCTCCATTTCTCCAACTGCAGAAGGTGAAACAAACTTTCATTTATTCATTCACTCTGTCAATATTTGCTGAACACCAATTAGCACCAAGCTTTGTGCTGGGCATTGGGAAGAACATTGGCTCCCGCTCCAATTCTGTCCTGAACAAAGTAGATTGTACACAATAGGCGTTGGTAAGTGTGAGGTATAGGAATATGTGAATAAATGGTGAACAGGGTCATTTTATCTCCTTGGAGCTTCTCACTTTTTATAGAAACATCTTTTTGGCTCATATAGGAAGTTGATGTCTCTATTTTCAAAAACATGTTAGTTTGGGAAATGGCATGGATTTTGGGTGAAGACCAGAGAAATCCTCTCAAAAAGTACAGGATGTTCAGTTTTGGTACATTGTTGCTTAAAGGTCTAAATATAAATTGTAGTAGCAAAAGAAAAAGGCTGTGAGGACAAACAAGACATTACCGATTTGATACAGTTTAGTTTGTTTTTTACTGGGGGATAAAAATAAGGGTGCCTGGGTTTGAATCCTAATTCTATCACTTCCTAGCTGCATTACCTTGGGCAAGTCAACCTCACTGTGATTCAATTTCCTTGACAGTAAATGGGAATAATAATAGAACCACCTCATGGGGTTGTTAGAATAATTATATGTAAGCGCATAGGCACGTGGTATAGCAATAGCTACGCTTATTCTTATCATAAAGCTACTAATTGTTAATACTGCCATTACTTATAATCACTCTGCTCCCCCAACTTCCTTCTAAGGTTCTGCGCACAAGTTTCCTATTCCCGCCCACCGGGACCGGGACGCGCCTTCTCCTCCTCTCGCTCCGCCTCTTCTCCCAGGTCACAGGCCCGCAGTTGCGTGGTGCATGCCGGGCCTTGTAGTTGGTTCGCAGAGTCCTGTCTGTTGCGGCCTCGCGGGTGTACTGCATTTCCCAGCATTCGTCGTGATGGCGGCCGTAAAACGCGACGGTCGAACGGCCGGTTCCGGCTGAATGTCAGTGCCGGGCTGTGGGCCGGGGAGGAAGGTGGTTGGCGGTCTCTTCACCACCTCCGCCGTTTGTGCTGCCGCCGCGGGCTCCCAGCCGCTGGGCCGCTGGGGCATGAGACCGTGAGGCGAGCGACGGGCCGGGGCAGCCGACATGTTTGGCCGCTCGCGGAGCTGGGTGGGCGGGGGCCATGGCAAGTCTTCCCGCAACATCCACTCCTTGGACCACCTCAAGTGAGTATGTTGGGGGCGGAGGTGGGAGGCCTGGGGCTGGAAACGGAGATGGGGGCGCGGAGCCCCGGGCTCGGGTCGCTGGGAGGTGGCAGAGCTGAGGTCGATGGAGGGTGGAGGAGAGGTGCTCGGGAAAGGCTGTATGGTGGCTAAGAGCGAGAGCTCTGGAGTCGGGGCGCCTTGGTTCGAACCCTGACCCTGTCTCTCCTTGCTGTGTGACCTTGGGCAAGTCGCTTAGCTTCTCGGAGCCTCAGTATCCCCGTCTTTTTAAAGTCAGGGGATGCGATTTCAAGTTTACGGACACCGACTTCGTTCTTGCCGGAGCAGATCTTGCGCACCTAGCTTCCCGAGGCGGCACTTCTTAGGCTGGACTGAGGACAGAGGTCTGGATCCCGGTGTCAGACAGATCTGGGTTGCAATCTTAAGTATGTGGAGTTCGGCCTTAGTTTCCTTAGTTGTAAAACGGATACTTGTGACAGCACCTGCTTCCCAAGATTGTCTTGATTGGGTAAAAGAATGCACGGAAAGCTGGGAGCACATACAGGTGCTCATTCAAGGGCAGTAATTAACTAAAAGCAGACTATTTTCTAGGCAGAGTCTAAAGAGGGATTATCAGAACTAGAGCTCTAGGGGAGGACAAGTTGCAAACGGGATCCTGGGACGCTGGAGTGCAGCAGGCAGACCTGCTTTCAAATCCTGATTTCACCACTTAATGGCAGTGTGACCTTGGCCAAATTACTTCACCTCTTTGAGCCTCGGGTTCCCCATCTGCAAATGAGTATTGTGAACATTGTGCAAGGATTTAGTAATGTCATGCATGGAAAGAGATTGACCCAGTGCGTGTCACACAGTAGGTGGCCAGCAGTGGTAGCTGTGTTTATTAGCCAGACCAGGCCTTCCCAGACCACACTACCTTAAGGGCTTCCCCCACCCCAATTCCTGTCCATCTTTATCTTGATTTCATTCAGTGCACCTCCACTAGCTGCAGTTATCCTGCTTGTTTTTACTACCTTTTTGCCTGCTACTGGCACTTCTGGGCCAACAGAGCCTGCTTGTTTTGCTCACAATTGTATCCCAGAATCTAGTGCTGTGCCTGACACACAGTAGGAGCTCAATGGATGCTTATTAAATGCGGGGGGGGGGGGGGGGGAGAGAAGAAAATGAACTGGGGAGAACATGCAGACAAGAATCTAGAATTTTTTTGGGGGGGCAGGGCTGGTGATGATGGAAAACAGAGACCTTTGAGGAGGGAATAACTTCAGGGAGGAAAATATTTGGGGGAGTTGGAGTAGGCAAACTTTAGAGGTAAGAAGCAGGCTGGTTTCCAGAGGAACTTCCCAAGATTATTGATGGAAGGAACAAGGATGGAGGGAGGAGGGGGAAACAGTAGGAAAAGACGGGAAGGGATTGTTGGGGAGGGACATTCGATGGGGGCTTCTCATTTGGCCAGGGGTCAGGGTACAGTGATTCTCAGCTATGTCCTTTCTAGCACGGAGCATGCATTTAGTCAATGTTTGTGGGTCTCAGAGGGGAGGGGAGGGGGGAGCAGGAGGGCTTATTTTGTGGTGAGGAATGGTGGTAAGAGAAAACATGGGGAGCCGAGAGGCCCAGGACAAGAAGTGGGGTATGTAGGGAAGTGGGAATCTTAAGTGGGAGGGCAGCTGCAGGGGAAAGGGAGAGGCTGAAGGATTTCAGGAATGTAGAGTGTGGGTGGATGTGGCTGAGAAGAGCAGAATGGTTGGGCCTCCTGCCAGTACCCAGTTACCTGCAGGCTTTCACCTCACTGCCTGACTCTAGGCCTTATATATTGCCGTAACATTTATTAAATGTGTTTTCTGTGTCAGGTACTTGCTAAGGCCTTCCTGTGTGTTATTTCCATTAGTCTATTTTACAGAAATGGAAACCAAGGTTGAAAGAGGTTCAGTCACTCGCCCAGGATAACAACAGCTGAAAAGTGTCAAAGCCAAGATTTGACTTTAGTGCTTGTACGCATTCCACTGTCTTTTTGAATAAAACTTCCTAAATAAGTCAGATTGGGGAGTCTTTCCACTTGGTTGAGTCTCACTGCCAGTGGGTCATCTTCACTCTCCCGCCAGCCAGGGAATGGTAAAGGTTCTCGGGTTCCTTTGAAGTATCCTGGAACTGCCCAGGTACATTGCTTAGGTTGCATGGCCATTGGGTGCTTTTTTGGAAACCTGAGCTGCCTGCCCTGGATCAGGCAGATCAGCTTAATCCATATTACAGCCTGCCGGAGTAACCTGGTGATTTGCTTACTGCTGTGGGGCTTAGAAGATCCTAGAGTGACTTGGGTAAGAGTGCCATCAACAGCTCGTACCCGCCCCAGTGCTTGTGATGATCTTCGTTTGGCTCTGATAGTAAACAACTTGGGTTTGGGATGTGGAACAGCTTACAAAGGGAAAAAGAGACCACCATAGAGCCAGTGACTGTACAGAGTGACAAGCAGTAGGACCACTGTAGGCCCAGGGTTCTGTGGAAACCTTGTGAGCTTACTGGAGGAGGCAACACCAGAGTGCAGTCCTCAAGGACAAGTAGGAATCACTGTACAGGGGAGCAGGATGCGGGAGGGGGGCCCTGGAGTGTGTGGAGCATCAGTGTGGGGCCGGTAGTTGTGGGAAACAAGTCTGGAGGTAGAAGGAGGCTTGGGTTTCACCTGACACAGGGTGACCAGCCGTCCAGGTGTGCCTGGGACTGGAGGGTTTCGCAGGACACGGAACTTTCAGTGCTAACACTGGGAAAGTCCTGGGTAGCTGGTAAGAATTGGTCACCCTCCCAGTGACAAGTGACAGTTCCTAATTCACTCTTACCCGGACAGAGGACACAGTGTGGATGGAAAGGAGAGATTAAGTTACTTAAAGTAATTTAGAATTGGTCATTTGGGGGTGGAGGGGGCAGACAAACATCTTGGAACCTTCCTTCTCCCCCCTTTTAATGGACTTTTTAAGAACAGTTTGAGATTTACAGAAGAATTGAGAGGACAGTCCAGAGGGCTGGAAACCCTTTTTGAACTACCGGTACACTATTCTTCATAACATTCCCAGCTTTCAAAGTGGAAAGGGATTTCACTCTTGGAATATACAGGGTTTTACTCTTGGAAAATTGTGTACCTGTGGTTTTTGTCTATTCAGTCAAGTTGTGATTTAGTTGAGGCAGATTGAAATAGTAAGAGTTTGCTTGCTGCACATTATGGGTGATTTATTGCCCAGACTAGTGGCGAGACTGACTAACAGATGTTCACCACTAAGAAAAACCTTTACTGATGGAGTTGTGTGGTTGCTACTCTAACATCACCTGTACTGGGAACTATGCATCTACAATGATGGAGTTTTTTTTTTCTTGTGTTGTGTGGTTGTCTTAATTCTGATCACCTTTTTGTGTGGCTCAAGATTCTTGGTTGCACATGACAGAAATCTGGATGGAATTGGCTCCTGTCACTGAGCAGTCATACCTGGCTAAGCCATGGCTGAGTCCAGGTGTTGAGATAGAGCTATCACTATCTTCCTCTTTACAGTTCTTGTCTCTGCTTTCTGCTGTATTGGTGTAATCCTCAGCAGGCTCCAGGCTTACATTGCGGTAGTTTAGCAGTCCCTGGGAAAAAGAACTTCTTAGTATTACTAGCAGAAGTCCAGAATTGAATAGTGTTAGACCAACTGGGGTCTCATGCCCATCCCTGACCTAGTGACTGTAGCAGGGGATGCTCTAATTGGTCTTTCTTTGGAGCTGGGATGCCATCAGCTCCACACAAGCTACTGGACAGAGAATGAGATAAAGGGAAAATCAGGGGTTTTACCCGAAGGAGACGGCGAATGTATACCCAGCAGGTAGAAACTCCTCTACACTTGGTATTTTCCACTTTTGCCTAAGATAGCATTGCTACTTTTAGAACTAGAGGTACAATATTGCTAGATTTATTTTCTTAGCATACACTACTTAACGTATCACACATAGTGAATCCAAGGTATCTGCAATGTCAAATCTAAGATCTTTCAGACCTTCATAGCACTCTAGACTCTGTTCCTACCAATCTAGTTTGAGAGCACAGAGGAGGGCCCTGTAACCCAGGCCAGGGAATAAGGAGCATCCTTGGTGGTCAGACACCCACTTAAATGGAGACCCTAAACAGCAGTTTGCTAGCAGGGTCGCCTAAGACCATCGAAAAACACAGGTAGTTACATTACGATTCATAAACAGTAGCAAAATTACAGTTATGAAGTAACAACAAAAATAATTTTATGGTTGGGGGTCACCGCAACATGAGGAACTGTATTAAAGGGTCGCGGCATTAAAAAGGTCGAGAACCACTGCCCTAAAGGATGAGTGGTTGTTACCAAGTTGGGGATAGGGCAAGGCAGAGTTAATGGGAGGATGCTCAGGCAGAGGAAACAGCATTTGAGAGGTTGGGAGGAGAGAATCTGGGGTCCTTCAGTAAGGGGATGTGTATGCATATGTGGTGGAGGGAGGTGGAAGGCTCTAAAGCAGAACAGTGAGGCTGGAGAAGTCAGAAGCCAGGTCCTGCTGGGCCTTGTAAGTCATGTTAAGAAATTTGGACATTAGGCGGAGAACAGTGGGAGCCATTGAAAGTTTATAACCAGAGGGTTGCTGTGGTCCCTCCAAAGTTCAGAGAATGGATTGGGGGAGGGCCAAACTGGAGGAGGTGAGCTTCTACTCCGGACTGTTGCTGTCTTCTGGTAAGTTAGGATAGCAGCCTATCGATTCTCATCTAAGAATATTTCTTTTGCCATTTCACACTGATGGTCCTTTCTCATTCACTGTTCACATACCTCATATACCCAACTCTCTGCACCTTTGTTTCCACCACTTGAGCTCCCTTCTTCTTCTTGCTTGCCCAAAGGCCAGTCCTATATAATAAAAGGGTAATATGCAAATCAACCGAACAGCAGAATGACTGGTCACTATGACACACACTACCAGGGGGCAGACGCTCAATGCATGAGCTGCCCCCTAGTGGTCAGAGCACTCCCACAGGGGGAGCACTGCTCAGCCAGAAGCCCTGAGCTGGGCTTACAGCTGGCTAACTAAAAATGTTGCAGGCCAAGCTGAGGGATGCCCCCCTCCATGAATGCATGAATGTCATGCACTGGGCTTCTAGTTCTTCCGTAAGAATTGCCCTTGTGACTTCAGCCAAGAAGTTTTATCATGTTCTCTAGCTTCACTTGTTCATGTTCTTGCTGTTACACTCAGTTAACATGTTATTGTATACAGTCTTCTCATCGCCAAAGAGTTAGACCAGCTGTCAGGTGCTCTGAGTTCTTCCAGTTTTATCCCAGCCTTGGGGTTAGATCCCCTGGAAACTGGCCAGGGTTCCTCAGGCATGTCCATTTGCCATCATAAATGTTTTTACTTGGTTATTTATTTGTTTTTCTGTCTCCCAATTTGAACATTAGGAGGACAGGGACCTGTGTGGCTTGTTTACCTGGCATTGTCAGATGCTAGGACAGGGTCCCACACATACTAAGTGGTCAACAATTATTTGTCACAGGATGAACAAAAGAGGCAAGTTCTGGCCAGGCTTTTCTTAACAACAGCTTGCTCTTGCCACATTGGTCATAGCATCTGTGCTGGAGCTGTGACTCGTTTTAGGGCTGAAAGCCCTTCCTACACACCTGCCATGATTGCTGACTCCCTGGCATTCTAGATGCAGTCTCACTGGCCCGCCCAGTTTAACACCTTTTGGGGAAATTCATCAGGAGAAGCACCGCCTGTGATAAACTTTCTCTAATCCTCTAGTCTGACTTCACTCTGTATGGACCTTTTCCTCGTCCTGCCAGCCAGAAGGCTGGATGCTGTCCTAATGGGACTTTTCAAAGCACAGAGTGGGATGCTTTGGAGAATGTCTGGTGAGTCTCTGCCTTGGTGCTGAGCAGGCCGGACCGACACAGGCTCTGTGTGCCCCTCTCTCTTCCCCTCCGACATTGTTAATTTTTTTGGGGGGGGGGGGTGGTTTTGGGAGTGATTGGGGGGATGCTTTGTGGGAGTGGATTTCTAGACCCCCTAGCTCCACCTACCCTTTCTTGCACTTTATCTTACAGATAAGTTTCAGGACCTTTCAATAGGAGCATCCTAAATGGCATATTATGATGCATATCATAAAACTTGTATGAAACTTGAACTTGGTAGGTCTGTCTCTGAAGCGAACATAATCATTATTAACAGTAATGGCTTAACTTGAAATAAGTGACTGTCTTGAGAAGGAAGGGTCTGTGGAAGTGGGATTTGTTTGCAGGGCATAGTTCTCAGTGATGAACCTCTAGTTGTTGGTTGCATGTTGGCAGTAGGCTGCAGTTTTCTAGTTTCCAGGCATTTCAGACTCCTACACTCGTCTCGCAGGTCGAGTTCGTTAATGTGCAAAAGTCTGAGATTGGGAGTCTTCATTCTGCAGACCTTCCTTTGGAGATATGGTAATGCTGGCTCTATTCCAAAGAAACGGAGTAAGTGCAGTTAGAAGGACTTGCCTTAAGCTCTAACACTTATTTTCTTGCTTTTTTTAGTTTGTTGTTTATCTATTTGATTTTCTTGTAATGCTGGGCATTCATAACTTCTTGTAAGTACTTGGCTACTAAAAGTGTTGTTTACTCCATTGTTTGTATTTTTTGTACTATAATGCTTATAAGCCTGGGGCTTGGAGCCAGTCTACTTGGGTTCTCTGTGGGGCCTCTGGGCAGGTTCTAGTCTTCTGGAGCCTCAGCTCCAGAGTGCCAACCCACAGGGTTGTTGTGAGGGTCGAACGAGTGATTACATCTGAGGCACTCAGAACAGGGCCTGGCCGTAGGAGGCTGTAACAGTTTTTATCACGATGATAAAAATATCCACACACAGAATTTGAGAGGAAATGTTACATAACAGTTGTTATCATTGTAAGAGAAAAATCTTAATTTTCTATGAGTTAAATGTCCAAGGTAATCATTCTGTCCTTGGAAACTTATCCGAGGGACACAGCTTTGCACACAAAGTTGACCATCCTAACTGTTTGATCATGTAAACACTTAGACCTAACAGAAACCTAACTGCTGTGCTTGTGCTTTCGTGGCTTACTATGTAGCCATATGGGTGTCTGCAACACTTGACAATGGCAAAAATGCTTTTATTTTAGCCAGAGGTGAGAAAAAAGATGGGCATGGAAATGGATATCCATCGTGAGCTCAACTATATAAATACCCATAAGCAAAGGAAAAGACCCAAGGAAATACATTGCCGCTTCAGCAGTGGCCATCTCTGGCAGCAGCATGCTTGAGAATTGCCATTTCTCTTTTGTTGCTGAAGTTTCTAACTTTTCTAAAATGAGTGTTCCGTTTCTAACACTCAGAATGGTATTAAACTGTTAATATCTCTGAGGAGGTTGGATTAGTTGGTCTTCCAAAGCTCTGGGATTAGATACAGCATTAAAATATTAAATCTTTATATCTATCTTTTGGTTCTTCAATCTATAATGTTCTTTATCATCCATAAATAAGTGAGGTCATGTGGTGTTTCTCTTTCATTGACTGGCTTATTTCAATCAGCATGATGTTCTCCAATTCCATCCAGGATACTGCAAATGATGAAAATTTCTTCTTTTTTCATGGCAGCATAATATTCCATTTTGTAGATAACCAAAAGATAGATACAGAGACAGTAAAGCAACAGGCAGACTGTCAAATTACAGTGGGGAGGTTAGGGAGATCTGGGGGAGATACGAGATCAACCGAAGGACTTGTATACATGCATATAAGTACAACCAATGGACACAAAACTCTGGGGAGGGAGGGCATGTATGGGAGGGGGAGGCAATGGTACATGTACAAAGATAATAATTTAATAAAAAAGAATTTTAAAAATCAATAAAATATATTAAAAAAATATTAAATCTTAACCCATTCAGCTTTCTTTTCTTTTCCAGTACATTTAAACAAACGTATAGTGAGGGTCTCTTCTACAACAGTATCTAAAACAGTATGTGCTAGAGCATCGTGGGGAGAAAAGAACAAAGTGCAGGTATAATATCATAGAGCTTAAGAGCTTGAGATCTAGTGGGTATTTTTGTTTTGCTTTGTTAATCCTCATCCGAGGACATTTTTTCATTGATTTTTAGAGAGAGTGGAAGGGAGTGGAGAGACAGAAAAACATCGATGTGAGAGAGATATATCAATTGATTGCCTCTAGCATGCACCCCAACCAGGGCCAGGGATCGAGCCTGCAACCAAGGTACATTCCCTTGATCAGAATCTAACCCTCGACCCTTCAGTTTGTGGCCAATGCTCCATCCACTGAGCCAAACCAACTATGGCTTTAGTGGGAATTTCTGTTTACAAACAATAAACATTTTTTAAATGAATGTTTCAAAGATTACTGTTTTCAATAGCATTAAAAACATCAACTGGCCGAAACCGGTTGGGCTCAGTGGTAGAGCGTCGGTCTGCAGACTGAAAGGTCCCGGGTTCGATTCCGGAAAGGGGCATGTACGTTGGTTGCAGGCACATCCCTGGTAGGGGGTGTGTAAGAGGCAGCTGGTCGATGTTTCTCTCTCATCGATGTCTCTCCCTTCCTCTCTGTAAAAAATCAATAAAATACATTTAAAAAAAAAACAAAAAAAATCTACTGCCTAGAAATAAGTCTAACAAAAGATGCATAAGACCCCTATCCAAACATTGAGAGAAATGTAAATGTCATACTGTTACACTATGGTAAAGATGTCAGTTCTCTATTTATAGATTTTGGTAGTCTTAAAGGAAATATTAACAAATATTTCTGTGGAAATTGAGAAGGTGGATTTTTAAATTTATGTGGAAATACGAAGGGCCAAGAATTAGCCAATGCCATAATGAAAAAAAAAAAAAAAAACACAGAAGGAAAGAAGTTTGGATGACTCACGTTGTCACATAACAAGATTTGTTATAAAGCTGCAGTAATTGGACAGCATGGTATTGGCACAGAAGTAAACAAAAAGATCAGTGGACCTACAGCTCCAGAAAGAGTCCCGCATCGGGGACTTATTAATGACAAAAGTGACATTGCAGTGCATTGAAGAAATGAGAACCTTTTCTGTAAATGATGATGCGTCGACTAGATATCCACGTGGATAGTGAACTTTGGCCAATGTCTCATGCCATACACAAGGATCAGTTTCAGATGTAATGTAAGTTTAAATGTGAAAGGGAAAAACTAGCTTTTTTGGGGAAGAAAACATCATTTCTTCATAACCTCTGGGGTAGGTAAGGATTTCTTGAGCTTGACTAAAAAACCTTATCCAAGGGAATGACTTTTACATTAAAATTAAGAATCTTTGCCCATCAAAAGACAACTATAAAGAAAGTGAAAAGGCAAGTTACATTTAGAGAAAATATTTATTTGCAACATGTATATCCAATATAGGATTTGTGCTCAGAATATATAAAGAATTCCGGCGGGTCAGCTGTGGAGGGTGTAGTAGGGGCGTTCTTCTTGCAGAGCCAACCGGGGCCCCTGGCAGCCGAACTTGGCGTGAGGCGTGTTCGCCGGTGAATTCCGCCGCAGCTCTTCTGGGGTGGCCGCGAGGAGGCGGGTTGCTCTGCTGTCCTCCATCACCTTCTCCTAAAGATGCATCCTGACTTATCTCCACACTTGCACACTGAAGAATGCAACGCCTTGATTAACTTACTTAAGGAATGTCACAAAAATCACAGCATTCTGAAATTTTTTGGTCATTGCAATGACCTTGATCGGGAGATGAGAAAATGCTTGAAGAATGAGTACATGGAAAAGAGGACCAAGAGCAGGGAGCTTGGCAATGCGATGCGAAAGAGACTTTCAAATCCTCCAGAGGAATCTGAAACATAAATTATATTATCACTGGATACCTTGCCTGAGAGAAGATCTGAAGACTCTTGGTTGATAAACCAAAAGAATCCTATCTCATTTGGTCTCCTGAATCTTTTGAATTGCAAGTGACCCATGAGAAATCGAGACATGGAGAAATACAGAAACACTGGATTCAGAATATTTGTTGGGCAGAGCCTTTAGTACTCTGATTCCTTTACCAACACACCTGACTTTTAATGTGTTTCTTTACTTTGCCTACAGCCATTTAACATTTGAGTAATTTATCACGCTCAATAAAATAATTGACTTTAAATATATATATATATATATATATATATATATATATATATATATATATATAAAGAATTCCATCAAATAAATAAGAAAAAAGGTATTCTACCTAATTTTAAAAATGGGCCAGAGGAAGACTTGCACAGATTCTTTGCAAAAGATATTCAAATAGCCATGAATATGTGAAAAGGCATTCAACTTTAATTATTATACAACTAAGGGCCCCGTGCACAAATTCCTGCACCTTGAAAGGAACTGTGGGCTTCGAGGCTACCCCATCCTCCATGCCCCTGCCCAACCCCTCCCACCGGTGCTGATGGTGCAGGCACCACTCACAACCGCTGATGCCAGCAACAGGTGTGAGTGGGGCTGGTGCCATTAGCAGCTTCTGGCCCACTTCCCCCTCAGGAGCAGGGGTAAGTGGAGAAGCCCTCAGGTGATCAGGGCTGGCAGCCGCCACTCGCACCTGCTAATGTCACTGAGTGATCTGGACCAGCGCAGTGCACCAGCAGCGCAGTGCACCAGCAGCACATGTGCGAGCTGCTTGACGCCATCTGCGGGTGCGAGTAGGGCCGGCAGGTCTGAGCGCCAGGTGGGACTTCGGCATGCAGGAGCAAAGAATTTTCAGTAACCACCAGATGTTCACCCCAATGACAGCGACCAGCGCCCCTCCTTGGTCTGGAGCGCTGCTCATCTGCTCCACCATCCTGCCACGGTTAACACCTGCCATATTCCACACATGCCCCCTGGTGGTCAGCACACTTCATAGTGACCAGTTGTTCAGTTGTTCCGCCGTTTGGTCTATTTGCATATTGACCTTTTATTATTTAGGATAAAACCCCAGTACAGCATCACTATATTCCAGCAGAATAGCTCCACTGAAAAAGACTAAGAACAGCAGGTGTTCTTATGGAATAGCTAGAACTCTCACACTGTGCCTCCTGGCCATTGGCTGCAGGCGAGCTCCAAAATGTCCCTCCGTTGCCAACTCGGCCTGCGCAGTGGTGGTCACAATTTTCGTGTCCCCAGTTACTATGAGTATGAGGGTCACATGAAGCCCTTCACAGGTTTGTAGGCCATGCAGCACATGTGGGAGCTTCTAGAATCTTCCTCTTTCTCCTAGGTTTGTCTGTAAGGGCCTCCTTGCAGTTACTAAAATTTTTTTCATAGATTATTTAACGAAGGCAATGATGGAAATAATAATAGTATCATGTGTAGAAACTGCCATTTTATAATGTCTTTTTACTTGTTTATTTCTTCTAACAACACCATAATAGGTAGGTACTAAAGCATTAAGGTTCAATTGCTGCTCCATTTTTATGGTTGATAAAACTGAGGTGAACAGAGATTAACTAACTTGCTTAAGATTACCCAGCTAAGCCTAGACTTTCCACATCCTGCTCTGGCTTCGCTGGATGGTTCCATAATTCGTCCCAAGAAGTCTTCTTTTCATGAATGGATCCAGCATGAACTCTCCTTCCTAGGTTCTGAAATATTCCATGTATAATATAGTAATGTTGATTATGGCCCCAATCATAATGACCACAACATAATAATAGTAGTAGCAGCCAATTCTGCATCTGTTGAATGCTTACTGTGTGCCAGATGCCAAGCTTGGCTCTTTCTGTGCGTTATCATGTCCAATACCTGGAACAGCTCAGTGAAGAGGCCTTGAGTGTTACTGGTGCCTTATGGAGCTGACTCTGATCTCCATAGTTGGGAAGTGTCATAGTCAAAGGTCAAGCCCAAGTCTGTCTGTTACACTTCCAAAGCCTGAGCTCTCCACTGCCTCTCTGTGCTGCCACTTGCTGTGTTTGGCTTTGGACCTTTAACTATGTTCAGTCTTTTTTTTTTTTTTTTTTTTTTTTTAATCAATCTTTATTGTTCATATTATTACAAAGGTTCCTCATTTCTTCCCCCGTCCACCAGGTTCCCACCCCACCCTCCGCCATTGTCCTCATCCCCCATTGTCCTCATCCATAGGTGCACAGTTTGTGTTCAGTCTCTTCCTCCCTCCCTTTACCCGATAGTAAATCCCTTTTCAGATAGTAAATCAGTTACTTAGCATTTTCTCATATCAATAATACCTCCACATGCCCAATGATACACTTCACACAAAAAACATTTCCAAATAGGTCAACCAGCCTCATCCAGGCCCCACCCAAGGCACTCACAGATCAACACCCTAGCACTATACTAACTCAACACATCCAGATCTAAGCCTTCATCACTTGATTCAGCAGACCTTCAAGTTCTCGCAAAAGTTTCCAGCCATGTCTGAGAGGCAGCTGTGGGGCAGGGACAGGCGAGGAGCAAGCTGTTCCGGGCCTGGCTGCTTCGGGCCTGGCCTCTGTTGCTCTGGTTCGTTCCACAACCAGCTGCTCCGGGTCTGGTCACTGCCACTCCCGACCTAGTTGCTCTGGACTTGGCTGCTACTACTCCGGGCCTGGCCGCACCAGACCCGGCTGCTCCGGGCCTGGCTGCTCCCAGCCTGGCAGCTGCTGCTCCGGGCCTGGCCACACCAGACCCGGCTGCTCCGGGCCTGGCCACTCCCAGCCTGGCAGCTGCTGCTCCGGGCCTGGCCGCACCCGACCCGGCTGCTCCGGGCCTGGCAGTTCCCAGCCTGGCAGCCACTGCTCCGGGCCTGGCCGCTCCCAGCCTGGCAGCCGCTGCTCCGGGCCTGGCCACACCAGACCCGGCTGCTCCGGGCCTGGTCGCTCCCAGCCTGGCAGCTGCTGCTCTGGGCCTGGCCGCACCTGACCCGGCTGCTCCGAGCCTGGCTGCTCCCGGCCTGGATGCTCCGGGCTTGGCTACTGCTGTTCTGGGTCTGGATGCTCCGGGCCCGGCCACTCCGGGTCTGGGTGTTCCTGGACTGGCCACCCTGGTCTTGGCCGCCTCCGCCTCAGGCCTGGCTGCCATTGCCCCGGGTCTGGCTGCTCCAGTGCTGGCTGTTGATGCTCTGGTTCTGGCTGCTGCTGCTCTGGGGCCTGGCCGTTGCTGCTCCGGGCCCGGCTGCCACTGCCTTGTGCCTGGCCACTCTAGGCCTGGCTGCCGCTGTTCCAACATTCTGTCCTTTTTTTTTTTAAACGCATTTATGTTGCAATGTTGGCTGGTGAGTTGAGTTCTGACTTAGTCTTCGATTTTTCAAGATCTTCTTTGTATTCTTTCTTAGGTAATTTTACTATCTTTTGCTCTCACTTGATTTCTTCACATTGAGAACTTCTTTGGTTTCTTCCTCCTTGTCCTGGGAGCTCAGCAGGTTGGCCTGTGGCACCCCTTTGTTCTCCGTGGGCTCCTGCGCTGCTTCAGCCTGTTGCCGGGGTTGGCGCCGCCCAGGAAGCAGCCCCCGGCCTTGGCTCTGTTGCCTGCACTCAGCGATTGAAGGCTCAGGGGTTTCCCCCCCCGCCCTGGGGGCCCGTCACCTGGCTCCTTGCTGGTGCCCGGCTGACCGGTGTCCGGCAGTTGCTCCTGCTCCTCGTCACGCTCCTCCAGTCTGGAGCTTTTTTTCTCCTTCCCGCTAGGGGAGTCTAGGATCAGAGTCAACAGACTGTCCTCTGCATGCAGTGTGCGCAACTCCGGGGGCTCCGCTTTTCGCAGCTCCCCCAGGACTCCACCTCATAGCCCCGTCTCCCTCTGCTTGAGCCTGAGTCCCCAGGGATTGGCCTAGAACTGGAGTTCAGGGCAGTCGGGAGTGGGGCTCAGCACCGCCGGAAAAAAAAAAAGGGCAATACAGCATCAGAGTCAACATTCTGTCCTCTGCATGCATTGTGCGCGTCGCAGTGTGCGCGACTCTGGGGGCTCCACTTTTCGCCGCTCCCCTGGGATTCCGCCTCACAGCCCCGTCTCCCCCTGCCTGAGCCTGGGTCCCCAGGGTCTGGCCTAGGACTGGGGTTCAGAGCAGTCGAAACTGGGGCCCAACACGGCCGGGGCTCCTGTTTCCTTCCCTCCAGGGCAATCCCGCATCAGAGTCAACATTCCTTCCCTTGCAAGCAATGTGCGCGACTCCGGGGCTCAGCTTTTCACTGCTCCCCTGGGATTCCGCCTCACAGCCCCGTCTCCCCCTGCCGGAGCCTGGGTCCCCAGGGTCTGGCCCATAACTGCGGCTCGGCGCTGCCGGTTCGGGGGTTCAGCCCAGGCTGGGGGTTTTATTTCCTTCCTGCTAGGGAATGCCAGGCAGCACCCAGCCCTCTCCTCCTCTCCGGCTGCAACTTTTCCGCGCGCGCGTGCGTGCGGGTGCGCAGCATGTCTCTGTACCTTAGGCTTTTTTTCAGCTCCTCTGATTTTCTCTTTCCTTCTTGTTGTAGAATTTTCAGTCAGTCTACTACCTGTAGCTCTGGGCAATGGCCACTCTACATTTTAGTTGTATTCCATTGAAATTGTTGTGTGCTGCTGCGGTTAGATGTCTACCCGAGCAGCCATCTTGGATCCTCTCTCTATGTTCAGTCTTTACATGCTCTGATGTAACATGTTCATGAAGACAGTCCCCTACCTTCCCACCATTCAGAATTTATTGATTATCTACTGTGAACCAGGCATTTTGGAGTCACCAAGATCAATAAGATGATGTTTCTGATCTTGAGGAACTCATGTCTAGAAAGGGAGGCGGATCATTGCAAATGAGGGTGATCTGTGCAGCAGCAAATACCTATGGGTACAGAGGCACTAGAGAGGAGGGACTAACTGTGCACCTATGAATGAGGACAATGGGGGATGGGGAAAGGACAGAGGGTGGGGCTGGAACCTGGTGGAGGGGAGCAATTGAGGGGTGGGGAATGGGGGGAAAGAGGAACACATTTGTAATAATCTGAACAATAAAGATTTATTTAAAAAAATGAAATTAAAAAAAAAGAGAGAGGAGGGACTAATCAAATCCCCCAGGGCAGGTGGGTAGGGAGGTTCTTTAAAAAAGGCTTTACCAAGAGGTGTCTGAGGTAGGTTTTGAAATAGTAGTAAGAGTTTATTGATTGATTAGGGCAGCAAGGGCATTCCAGGCACAGTGAATATAAGTCAGAGCTGGCTCTAAAGATTTTACTATCTGATCTTTAATGGATGTCATCTTCTATACACAAGGAAACACCAGAGTGGGAGAATCTGCCTCTCCCCTGCCACCAATAGCGCCTGTCACAGCAGGGAGTGGGTAAGCTGTGGGCTGCATGGAAAGTGCCATTGATGGCCATCGTATGAGTGATGTGATGACTCTGTAAGCTCATTCAAAATACAGATTTGGTGTTCTCCACTTGGGAGTCTGTGGGTTGTTCTGAAAGAAACAGGTGTGCCTTAGCATTTGGTTGTCCTGATGTGTAACCTGCATTGTGGGCAGGAAGCCATTGTCAGGACAGAGTAGAGAGAGACAGAATAGTTTTCTATAGGCAAAGGTGACAGATTGGGTGAATTTTATCTCCCTGTTTAATCTGTACATAGAACATATCATACTAAAAACTGGGCTAGACTCAGAGGAAGGAAGAATGAAAATTGGTGGAAGAATTAGCAGCAACTTCAGATATGCAGATGACACCATCTTATGGCAGAAAGTAGCAATGGCTTGAAATGATTTCTGATGAAAGTGAGCAGAAAGTGCCAAAGCAGGACTTGCATTTGAACATCAAGAAGACAAAACTCATGACAACAGAAGAAATACACAACTTTAACATAAAATCATGACTATGGAAGTAATACACAACTTTAACATAGTGAAGATATTGAAATTGTTAAAGATTTTGCTTACTTTGTTCAAATATCAATTAAAATGGGGACTGTAGCCAAGAATTCAAGAAAGCTGAGACTCAGAAGGGCAGCAATGGGAGGATCACTACAAAGATATGTCATTAGAGACCAAGGTTAAGATCCACACCCTCATATTCCCAATTACTAGGTACCGATGTGAAAGTTGGACAGTGAAGAAGGCTGATAGGAAAATGACTGATTGGAAATATGGTGTTGAGAGTTCTACCCTGGACCTCCAGAAAGATGAACAAGTGGATCCTGGAGCACATTAAGCCTGAAACGTTGCTAGAGGCAAAAAAAAAAAAAAAAAAAAAAAAAAAAGGCCAAAACTGGAGCTCTTCTACCGCAGAGACATCATGAGAAAGCAGGGTTCTTTGGAAAAGACAATAGTGCTGGGAAAAATAGAAGGCAGCAGGAAAAGAAAAAGACTAAAGAGACACATTGACTCCATAAAAGAAGCTGTAGGCATGAGTCTATAGTTGCCGAGCAGGGCTGATGAGGACAGGACATTGTGAACATCACTTATTCAGAGTCACCAGGACTCAGAACTGACTCAGCGTCATGTACCACACCCAGGAGTCAGTTCTGTGGATCTGGGATGGGGAACTAGAATCTGCAACTTAGGTATTCTGATGCAGGAGGCCTGTGAACCACAATTTGAAAAACTCTGCTCTTTGACTTGGAGAAGATGAGTCAAGGCGACAGGAAGATAAGAGATTCACGAGTGCCCTTGTGACTCATCCCAGGCTGAAACAGTGCTGTGGAGTTACCTTATCCCCGAGGAGAACTAGCTTCTGCTCCCATCTGTAGCCTTACCTATAGATTTGGACATGGGTGGTGAAGATTTCTGTTTTCCAAGGGCTATTTTGGTTACTGCATAGAAGTTGCATGTGATTTTAAATTAAAACCCAGACCCTTAAGTAGTAGATTGCTCCTTATTGTTCCTTCCGAAAGAATCTGTCTTTTATATCTTACATTTTTAGAGATTTTTTTGATGGGACGATTCTATTTAATCTTTTCCTGTCTTGCTCTCACTAGCCCCCACCACTAACTGAAGGGGCCATAAAAGAAACCAAGAGGTGACTCTAGGTATTCCCTTTGCCTTCCCAAGTATGTCTGAGACTCCCATAGCAGCTCAAGTTACCTCAGTCTGTGGGTCCTAAAGATGCCATCTCTTAAAAGTTGTGTCAGGTGGCAGTCCCAGGGCATCTGACCAGGCTTCTGGGTCCAACACTGCTTGGCACTGGCCTCAGTGATTCAGTTGCCCTCGCTACCAGCAGAGGGCATCGAGGATGGGCCTGGGCCTTCTGTCTCTGCCCCAGTAGCTGGCATAGGTCTGGAGCAGCGTGGGCCTTCCAGGACCATTTAGGACCATTTGGGTGGGTGAAATATAGTGCCATAGTCTCAAGCCCACTTGACTTTGTGAATTCCAACAATCTGCACTCAGCACATAATAAGATCAGTGTCCTGCAAGTAACCCACTTTATATGAGCCACCAATTCTGATGGCGATCTGAACTTTAAGGGAATTGTGAGCAATCCAAGGGTAATCTTGTGTTTGCACATGATTTTTACCCAGGCACTGGCTTTGGGATCCACCCCACCCTAAGCTATGACAACACCTCATGCAGGTCTTATGTTAAGCAGTCAGACCTGAGCCATGTGTCTCCACTTGCTCCACTAGCATCAGAATGACCTGGGGAGTGTGTGAAAAAGGCCAGGGCCTGATCTTCCCTAGGTCCCCCTGAATCTGAATCTCTGGGTGGGCTTCCATACCCCCGTTTTATCCAATTCTCCAGGAATTATCTTACACACTCAAGTTTGAGATGGCTGTCTTCAAGGACTTGACAATTCTCTTACCTCAGTTGGGGTTGGTGTGTCCTTGGTTACTTAATGCTTCAAAGAAGTATCTGCCATTTTTCCTGAATGGTAAGTTCTGTCTCATCTGAATGGCAGTTGTGCTAAGTGGATGTGAAAAGGCACAGCGATGTTGTCTCCCAAATGTCACTAAGGGTCATTGAGCCTGGCTTTCATTTCAGTTGGTAATCTTTACTATTCTTTCCTTTCAGGTATTTGTACCACGTTTTGACCAAAAACACCACAGTCACAGAACAGAACCGGAACCTGCTAGTGGAGACCATCCGTTCCATCACTGAGATCCTGATATGGGGAGATCAGAATGACAGCTCTGTGTTTGAGTAAGGGTTTCTAATGTTTTAAAAATGTTTCCGTCTTCCTTTGAATATGTTTCTGAATGCGTATCATGAGTCATTCTGATGATGTCAGAATTTGAAGCCAATTTGGTCTTGCACGGATATCTATTCCTCTATCTATATAAAATGTCCTGAAACACCACAGCTGAAAATGGGGAAGTATGGAAATGAGTCTCTAGAAAATCTGAAAATATCATGGGTAATTTTTCCAATAGTGTCTGATTATCACCCCCAAGGAAGGAGACAATGTCCTGGGTAATTAGTCTCTGAGTGAACGGGGGGGAGACACTAAAGGCAAACATTTTTTGTGTTTACTGATGGCCAGGCACAGTGCTGAGCTCTTGATGAGATAATCCCCCTATGTCTCCCAGTGACTCCAGGGTAATGGCCTTGTTCCATTTATGTGTTCGGTCATACAGCTGGTAAGCATTGAAGCAGTGCCTCCTGCCAGAGCCCATGGAGGGGTTTGTCCCTTATTCTCATACTTTCTAGATGAGCAACCTTAGGCCAGCCTCAGTTTCCTCATCTTTAAACGAGAGAGAGTTCCCTGTCTAGTGCCTGGTATAGCCTAGGCATTAAGAAATGTTAGCAGTTCATAATAAAATAAAATAAAGGTGTTCCTATTGGATGGTCATTCTCATTTGTAGAATATAATGAACAACATAAACTGATGAACAAAAATAGATAGAGACATAGAAGCATCAAATAGCCCGGCAAACCTCAGAGGGAAGGCAGGGGAAGGTTGGGTAGGGTGGCTAAGAGATCAACCAAAGGACTTGTATGTATGTATATAAGCATAACCAATGGCCACAGACTACAGAGGGGTGAAGGCATGTGCTGGGGGGCCAGAGTGGGCAGGGAGAGGTCAGTGAGGGGGGAAAGGAGACATATGTAACACTTTCAACAATAAAGAATTTAAATAAAAATAAACAAAAGCAAAGGCTATTTCCCCAATAGATTTGTCTCAGTGTCTGAGTGCAGAAGAGTTTGGATTTTGATAACTATCAATAGAATTTATTTTTATATAAAAATAATCTCAATTATAAGCATTGAGGCCATTTTTAAGACCATTAAAAAAAAAAAAAGGTATTCCATTTCTAACATGGCTTCTTAATAGATATCCTGATTTTCTGGATAGCTCTGTTTTCATTGGTAAGATTATTTAAATAAAGCTACATGTGAAAATGCAAAACCTGTGACACTGGCCATAATCCCCAAAGGATAATCGGAGTAATAAAGTGAAGTGTTGCTTATAAATGGGACTAGCTTTCTTTAAAGTTCCATGGAGAATTGGTTGGTTGGTATTTGGAAATGAGAGAGACCCTTGGATTAAAGCTTAGAAACTGTCCTCCTTAGTCCATTTGTCAGTTTAGAAAATTCCCTGAGGCCCAGGGATTCTTAGGTGGCTGCCTAACGGAGTCCCCAAGAGAATTGTTTTTAATACATTTTTTTATTTTTTATTTTGGAGTAGTTTTAGATTTACAGAAAAGTTATAAAGATAGTACAGAAAGTTCCCATCTGCCACCCCGCTATCCCCGTCCTGTATCCTCCATTGTTAACATCTTAGATTACCACCGTGCATTTATCAAACCTGAGTAGTTGACATTGGTACCTAACTATTAAATAAACTACAAACTTGATTTGGATTTTGCCAGATTTTTCCATTAATATTCTCTTTTTGCTCTAGAATCCCAGTCCAGACTCCCAACCGAGGCTCCCACAGTGCATTCAGTTGTTACATTTCCCCACTGTCCTCTGCTCTGTGACAGTTTCTTAGTCTTCCTTGGTTTTTTATGACCTTGACAGTTTTAGGTGTATCTATTCTGTCTAGGAGCATGGGAATTAAGCTCCACTTTCTGCGAGGGGTTAATATTTGAAGTTCTGCATGGAAGATTTGTTTCTTCCCATTTATGTATTTATTCAATAATTTATTTATATCATGGATATTTACTTTATATATACTTTGGATTATAATCCAATACAGTGTTATTTGTTATGTTGCTGAATTGATTCCAGCTTTGGAAGCTCCTTTAGGTTGGTTCCTGTGTCCTTTGACACGCCCTATCCTTTTGTTTTTGAGCACTTCCTTTCTTTCTGGTACTTTAAGATGCTCCGGGTTCATTTTTTCTTTTTTTCTGCCCCAGCCCTAGAATTAGTTATTTTTCCAAGGAGCCCCCTCTGTACTCCTCCAGGGTGTTTTTAAAAATCCAGGCCCTTGGACTTTATGTTAGTTTTAGGGGATAGATCTTTGGGCAAAGTCTACAGGCATTTTCATAAGTTCCCAGCTTGGTTATCATTATGCTGTAGTGGGCTTTTTGGGTGATCCTTGGTAGACCAGATAAACAAAATAGGTCAAATGTTAAGAATATTCTGGGGTCCATGTGAATGGCTCCCAGAATCAGAGATGGAAAAGATTTTAGAGGTCTTTTTTTAAAGTAATTTTTTCATTCATTTACCCTTTCATGGATTCAAACAGAAGTTATGTGGCCCACAGTCCTGCTGCTGTGGAACTGACAGTGGAGGGGAAAGAGTTACTAAAACTAAGTCAACCAGCAGACACATGTTACTGCAGCCATTTATTTGGAATACCCCAAATGAGAGTTATCTGCTCTTAGCTTGAACTCAGAGAACACATAACTAGAAACATCACTTTCTTTCTTTTTTTTTAAAATATATTTTATTGATTTTTTACAGAGAGGAAAGGAGACGGATAGAGAGCTAGAAACATCAATGAGAGAGAAACATCGATCAGCTGCCTCCTGCACCCCCCCCACCGGAAATGTGCCCGCAACCAAAGCCCATGCCCCCGATCGGAATCAAACCTGGGACCCTTCAGTCCGCAGGCCGATGCTCTATCCACTGAGCCAAACCGGTCTCGGCACTTTGTTTCTTTAAAGAAAAGCATTAGGGGGTTCTGTCTCCTTTTCAAGATTAAACAAACCAACACGTACTCCTAACTGTTAGTGTCCCAGGCTGCGTACAAACCAAGTCCTGTCCAGAACAAGAAAGACAAATGTGGACTTGGGGCCTGGCTAGGGTCCTACCACCATGGTAGCATCTTCTATTTCCTTCCCATTCTTTCCCCCCAGCATGGAAACGACAAACCTGACAATTTGGAAACCAAAACCCTTTATATCCTATTGTTGTTTAACTCTCAAAGACATGGGGAGCAAAAGAAAGAGGCTTAATAAGAAGGAAGGATATCAAATATTTCCTTACTAAATTCCAAACACAGATCACTATGTAATCATTTAGTAGGTAAAGATCTTTATCATTCTGTCAGAAATTTAGTAGTTCACTGCTTCCAGAATCAGCACTGTTCTTGCCTTCTGAGAAGATTGCTGTGAAGGTTGCATTTGCCTGGAAGCTGAGGCTGTGCAGATGGCATGGTCTGGCTGCTCTGCAAATGCCTTTGGGGGCTTGGGAGTGTACGTGTGCTAAGCATGGAACCAGAGGATGATTTGTATTTCTTTCTGTGGAAACAAACCACTGACGCTTTCCCATTCTCTCCCCAGCTTCTTCCTGGAGAAGAATATGTTTGTTTTCTTCCTGAACATCCTGCGGCAGAAATCAGGCCGCTATGTGTGCGTTCAGCTGTTGCAGACCTTGAACATCCTCTTTGAGAATATCAGTCACGAGACCTCACTTTGTAAGGACAATCCTTGACACCTGCCTCTGCACTGCTGAGTGTTGGCAGTGTGTGATTTGGCATGGTTTTTGTGTTGTTTCTCAAATGTCTATGTTTGCCATATATCTTAGTGTGCTTGGGCTGCTGTGACAAAGTACCCCAGACTGGGTGGCTTAGACAACAGAAATTTGTTTTCTGGAGGCTGGAAATCCAAGATGTGCCTTCAGTGATGTTTTCTGGTGAGGCCTGTTTTCCCATTTTGCAGATGGCTGCCTTCTAATTGTGTCCTCATATGATCTTCTGTGTGCATATACCGAAAGTTCTGGTGTCTCTTCCTTTTCTTTCCTTTTTTTTAATCCTCATCTGAGGATTTTTTTCCATTGATTTTTTAGAAAGAGTAGTAGGCAAGTGGAGGGAGGGAGGGAGAGAGGGAGGGAGAGAGACATCGAGAAACATCGATGTTTCTCACACACTGAGCTTGGGCCAGGGATTGAACCCAGGTATGGGCCCTTGATCAGGAATAGAACCTTCGATCCTTCAGTGTGTGTGGCCAACACTCTAACTCTGTACAACACCGGCCAGGGCTGTCTATTTTCTTTTAAGGATGCCAGTCTTATTGGATTAGGGCCCTATCCTATGACCTCCTTTAGCCTTAATCACCTCTTTAAGGCCCTGTATCCGATACAGTCACATTGGGGGTTAGGGCTTCAACATAGGGATTTTGAGGACACATTTCAGTCCATACCATCATGTTTATCCCTGCTTGGTGGTGCTTTGAATAGCTAAGGGAGAGTCTCTACTGCTGAGTGATTCTGGGGCATTGGCATTTCTTGTTTATAATTTATTACTAAGGAGTTGGAGTCAAACCAGCCAATAGAATAAGCATTGGAAGCAGCCAGCGAGGAAGAACTCAGCCACGGAGCATGCAGGGTGTGGGCTTTGGCACCTGCCCAACTGGCACCTGTGTGACTCAGAGCTTATTCCCTGCCCCTAAGCCCCTGGTTCTTCATCTAAACAACCTTCCCTGAGAGGCAGGAGCTGTTGCTGCCCTCATTTGATGCTCAGAGAGTTTGAGTCACTGGCCCAGGTGACAGCTCTAGGAAGGCCAAAATCGAGAAGGGGTTTAATCTAGGTAAGTTAGCTCCATGGTTCTTAATTGAGGTTGATTGTGCTACCAGCAGGCATTTGTCAATGTCCAGAAACACTCTTGGTTGTAAAGATGGTGGAGGTTGGGGGAGAGCATGCTGCTACTGGTCTCTCATGGGTGGAGACAGGAATTCAATTAAACATCTTACAATGCACAGGACAGCCCCACAGCAAAAGAATTTTATAGCCCTATTCCAAGGTGACCACACCAAGCTCAAGGCCCTGCCCGTAGTAAATAAGGAGAAGAAGACTAGTGATTGAATGTCTACAACTGAGGCAGGCTCCAGGTCCCCAAGATAGGTTTGAAAATATTTTCTGTTGGGTAGAAGGGGGTAGTGATGGTGTCGTTGGCATTACTTTGGGGAAGGAGGAAGATGTAAGGAAGAGCAATTGAATGGTGACTCTCAGAAGCGACCACTAGATGGTGCTATTGCTTCAAAATGAATGTGAGTTGGCTCTTCCCTAAGTGGTTTCTCTTGTTATCAGCTTTTGTTACACTGGATATGAATTGTGTGGTTTCTGAGAATTCCGAGAGGGCAAGGCCCAGCTCGGTGGTGCAGACCGGGACTTAGACCCATCTAGGCTCAGGCTGGTTCTGCCACATGTTCATTCCTCCAGTGTGCTCCAGGGAGTGAACTCTCCAAGCTTCAGTGGAGATAATCCTAGTACCTGGGAAATGGAGTGGTTTGAGGATTAAGTGTGATAGTTTGTTTGCAGAGCATAGTATGGGTCTGGCAGATAGATGGAAGTGTCCAGAAGAGTTGGTTTTATTATGAAATCTAGCATTTCCTCCAAATGTCTGTTCTGTGGTGACCCTTTCTAAGCCTAGGCTACTCGTTAAAGATAGGAGTTGGGACAATTAAAATTCTGGGGTTCCTGGATTAGATGACTCTTCATGTACTGTGTCTAAAAAGAGTGCCCTGCTATAAGAAACCCAGGCAGATGGCTCTAGCTTTATGGGAATTTCACCAGAGTACTTTTAAAAGCCTGCCAAAGTGGAGAAGTCACTTTCTTTGTATAGAACTTGGATTTATGGGTAAAGCAACAACCAAAATAATAATAATAATTAAAAAAATCAAATATTACATCCTAGCCTGTGTGGCTAAGTGGTTGAGCGTTGACCCATGAACCAGGAGATCACAGTTCAGTTCCTGGTCAGGTCACATGCCCAAGTTGCAGGCTCAATCCCCAGTGGGAGACATGCAGGAGGCAGCCAGCCAATCGATGATCCTCTCTCATTATTGATGTTTCTATCTCTCTCCCTCTCCCTTCCTCTCTCTGAAATCAATAAAAACATATATTTTTTTAAAAAATCAAACATTACAAAATATAGAAAGCAATAATTCTGCAGAATCTCACCCTACTGTTCAGTCAGATACCATTTTGCTGTTTTATTTTTCCCCAACCTACCAGTGTATCTTAAACCTTCTGATTGCCTATTCATGCAACCTTATATAGTTCAGTTCAAGAGCTGCATTCACTGGGCCATAACTTATTTAACTTGACCATAGGCATTTAGGTGGTTTCCATATTTTCACTATTACAAGCCGCCGTATCACAGGGGCACCTGTTGGCTGTTGATTTTGGTGACCTAAGTGACAGAAGGCCGAGAGACTGAGATTACTTATAGACTCCTGGGTTTATTATAAAAGGATACCACAGAAAGTCAGCCACACAGTGAGGGGGTAGGAGAAAAATTCCAGCCGAATAATAGAGGCCCCTCCGCTGCCCCCATGCTGGTCCCCACCACCCACAGAGTCATTTTGTGGAGGCCCTGGAAAAGTCCCTGCTGTAATGATTGGAGCATGTGGCTTTTCCACCTCGAGAGTGTAGCCCAGAGGCTCATGTTGCAAATCTGAAGCTACCAGCATTGGCGTCTGCACCTCTGGTGGCCCGGAAGCCACTAACCAGTCACAACGAAGCTCACCATGACATCTCAACTGTCCCTTCTGCCAGCTCATTTGTCCCCATCCATAGCCAGAATGACAGAATGAAAAAGTTTCCTCGCCATTGGTATCACCTGGGCTGCTTGCCAAGGTTCTAGGGGGGTAGATTGCTAACTGTTCAAAGCATGGAATACTTTGCAAAAGGAAAAAAAGGAATGAACTCTTACCACTTGGTGCAGCAACATGGCTAATTCTCAGATATGATGAAAGACGCCAGACAAGAAGCACGTCTATGAAGTTCAAGAAAAGGCAAAGCCAGTTAATGATGGAAGTCAGACTAGGGGTTGTCTTTGGAGAGGGGATGACTGGGCAAGGTCATGGGACCTTTGGGGAGCTGGACATTTGCTACACCTGTCTGGGTGGTGCTTATGGTCTATATTTGCAAAAATTCATCAAGCTAGACACCTAAGATTTGTGAAGTGTGTATATATCAGTTCACCGGTATATGTACTTACCATTCCTATATATATGCATTTCCACATATATCAAGTTGTACAGTCAAGATTTGTGGAATGTGTACCTCATTTTTAAACATAGCCAGACACACTGCCTCCTCTATTGGAGCGCCAATATCTTCCTCAGTTATTGTTTGATCAAGAAATTTTGACAACTGTTATAAGATTACAGACTTCATGGCCTGTCTGTGCAGCCAGAACACCCAATGTGCGTTGAATACAGTGGCTTCTCTGGAGAGCTGGCTTCTGAGGAGGACCCAGCTGTGGCCCCTGCCATGGCCTCTCATGGCTCTGGGCTCCTGGCTGGCTCTTTATATTGTGTTTGGTGATTCCAAATAGCCTTTTCAGTAATACTTTGGCCTAAGTTCGGTACCTCTTTGCCACCAAATAGCTTAGTGGTTTATTTTCGATTCACCTAAGAGCAACTGTGTTCAGTTCTAGGAATATGGTGGTGGAGACTATGAATCTCCAAATGAGAGTAATAAGTAATGGCAGCTAACATTATTGAGAGCTTACTTTGTGTCTCTTACTGTTCTTAGTGCTTCTTGTGTGTTATCTTTAGTTCTCAGAACAGCCTCGTGAGGAGGGTATTGTTATTTTAGTTTTCAAACAAGAAGACTGGGGAGTGTTGAGTGTAAGCGGTTTGCTCAAGGTCACCCAGCTCGGATGTGGCAGAGACAGTGTGGATCCAAGTCCACACGAGGTGGTGGGAAGCCTGTAGGGTTTCTTAGCACAGAGTCCCAGGCCTACCCCCAGACATATGAGTGGGGTCAGGAATGGGCCCAGGATCCAGCGTGACTGACTAGCTCCGGGTGATGCCATGCTGCTACTCGGAGGACCACACTCTGAGCCACTCCACTCTCATGCCTTGTGTGTCTGCCTGTAGGTGCAGGTTTTGATCGTGTTCTGCCTTTAACCATTTTGGGGAAGCCGCTGGGGTGGTGCAGAGCTCACAAGCTGACAGCCCAGAGGACAGACAGGATACAGCAGAGCCTGCTTTGAAGGGTGGCTGGTGAGGACTTAGAGGAGGGCCCAATGCCAAGGCCATGAACCATAGAGGCCCATGGGCCACAGCTGGTCTACAGACTTTGTGCTTGCAGGCCAGCACAGCTTTAAAAACTAGCCAATCTAGTGGCTAACATTGCACATTCAGGAGATGCAGCATTAACATCTGTGTTGCCCGGCTTCCTTTGCATAATTGGGAGCTCTCACCACGCTGATCCTGCGTTCCTGAAGGGGCCATGAATTGGGGGCTTCGAGGGGGTAGCTGTTCTTCAGTTGGCCCAGTGCCTCGAGGCCCTCATCATTGTTGACTCCCATTCGTGATGATATTAACACAGGCTTTGACATGGGACCTTGGTTCGAGTTCCACCTCTGCAACTTTCTGTTTCTTGGGGCAAATTAATCAGCCTCTCTGAGCTTTTTTTTACTCATCTGCAAAATGGGAAGAATGGGACCTCCTCTGCAGTATCGCTGTGACAGTTACAGTGTGAGGCATTCAGCCTGATGCTGGGCATGTAGTGGAGGGTCAGCATAAAGTGGCTTTTCTGAAAAGCTATAAAAGCTACATAGGGATAAAAAAGCCATGTGCGCTAGGCCTTTTGTGGCATTCAGGATGATGGGTGACTTTTGAGGGCAAAATGGGGAAGCTTTTTATAGAAGACAGTGCTTTTTACCCTCATCCGTAGGCTGTTGTGAAATGCCCACGCACCAACTCATTTGTCCCACTCCCAGCTCTGTGTTGAATTGTGCCGGCAGTGAAGAAAACGTTCTGCTTGGTGTGGGAGGGGAGGGTGCCCCGGGCTTTTCTCTGACATTGCTTTTGAACTTTCTGGTGACTACACTGGCTGATTTCTTTGATGGCTAAAGGTTAAGCTGCTCTCTGTTAGCTTGATAACCCCACCCACCCAGAAGGTTGACTGGTTTGTGTATATTCATATGGTCATCTGCTTTGTTACCTGATTTTTTCTACTTGTCTATCCTCTAGCACGAATTAACCTGTTTTGTTTTTTTTTGTTTTGTTTTGTTTTTCTCCCTCTAGATTATTTGCTCTCTAATAATTATGTAAATTCTATCATTGTCCATAAGTTTGACTTTTCCGATGAAGAGATTATGGCATATTATATATCATTCCTGAAAACACTTTCGTTAAAACTCAACAACCACACTGTCCATTTTTTTTACAATGAGGTAAGTGACTGCCGGGGAGGTGTGTTTGGATGCAGAGCCAGCTGGTCAGAGCAGCACCTCTGTCCAGGAGGCCTCCTGCCTGTTTACAAAGCACTTATGTGCTTGTTCTTCCTCATTCCCATAGCAACACTGCTTGGCCTTGGCATGCTTACATTTTTTAATTTAATAAGTTACCTTTTCATTTCTTATGTAAAATTCAATTATTGCACACTGAGAGCGGTATACTTGGCAGGGAGGAGTGCGTGGAAGTTGACTCGGGGGTCGTGTTATTCTGTGGGGAAAACAGGAAGTCCATTCAGACCCAGTTTTGCCACTTCCCTGCTGTGTGACCTTAGAGAAGTCTCAGTCCTCTAAGCCTCCAGTTCTTCCCTGAGAGATGGGGATGATAATATATACCTTGTAGGGTTTTTTACAGGGATTGAATTAAATGAGATGATACCTGCAAAGTACCTATTATGTACCTGGCTCCCTAAAGTTATAGCTATTCTTATAAAAGTATATAGATTTTTTTTTTTATTGATTTCAGAGAGAGAAAAAAAAACAACAACCATCAATATGAGAGAGAATCATCAACTGGCTGCCTCCTGCACACTCCCCACTGGGGATCGATCCCGCAACCCAGGCATGTACCCTGACTGGGAATCTAACCACCATCTCCTGGTTTGTTTGTTGATGCTCAACCATTGAGCCACACCAGCCTTGTGTTTTTGCTGTTCTTTAGAAGTTAACATCCCTAGTAATCCTTGGGGAGAATTACTAAAAATTTAAATAAATAAATTGCTATTGTTCTCACAATTAAAAGTAGCTTGAACAATAAAGTCAGTTTATCTCATACCAAAAGGTACAGATGCCAGCTGTCCTGGAGCTGGTTCATCCTGTGGCTAACCCCTTCATCAAGGACCAAGCTTTTCCATCTTCCTGCTCCGCTGACCATACAGTTGGCATCTTTCCTCAGGCGCGACCCTCATGACCTCAGAACGGCTGCAGCAGCTCCAAACTTCACATGCTCACATGCCACTGCCGAAAAGCCTGATGAGATCACTTTCCTTTTAGGTCTCTTTAACTCCCCCAAACCTTCCTTTCCAGAAGCTTCCCAGCAGACTTCCTCTCCTGTCTTTCTGGTCAGATTTGTGTCGCATTTATCACACAATATGTCTAGAATTTGGGAGTGGCCTGGCAGAGCATTTCTGGCTTGATTGAAGGCTGGAATTAGGGTTGGGGTTTCTGTTTCCAGGTTGGCTTGCTCATATGGCTGGCCATTTGGTGCTGGCTTCCTCTAGAATGAATGACCCAAGAGAGCAAGACAAGCTGGAGTACAGTTTATGACCCAACCTCAGAAGTCACACACCATCACTTTTGCCATATTCTTTGGGCCGTAAAGAGAGCCTGATTCAGTGTAGGAGAGGATGACATAAATATGTGAATACGGGAGATCAGGATCATTGGGCAGTTATAAAGTGGGAATTATTTTTTTTTTTAATTTTATTTTATTGATTTTTTTTACAGAGAGGAAGGGAGAGGAGAGAGATAGAGAGCTAGAAACATCGATGAAAGAGAGACATCGACCAGCTGCCTCCTGCACACCCCACACCAGGGATGTGCCCGCAACCAATGTACATGCCCCTTGATCAGAATCGAACCTGGGACCTTCCAGTCCTCAGACCGACACTCTATCCACTGAGCCAAACTGGTTTTGGCTGAAGTGGGAATTATTATCCCCATTTTCTAGATGAAGAAATAGAGGCTTAGAAATATTACATCACATAGCTAAGAAGTGGTAGAACAATTCATTAGCCTGGGTCTGGACCATTTTCCATTCCATGATCTCCCTTCTCCATTCCTTCCCACATTCCCACACTCCCATTGGGAGTGAACCACTGGCTTAACGTCCATGTTGGTAATATTTTGGGGGGCCTTTGACTGATGTCTGTGATAGGATTCAGGAAGCTGGGGTGGGGGCAGGCCTTTCTTATGGGTTTGTAACTCCTTTTTGGTACTTCTTTGTTTTAGCACACTAATGACTTTGCCCTGTACACAGAAGCCATCAAATTTTTCAATCACCCTGAAAGCATGGTTAGAATTGCTGTCAGAACCATCACGTTGAATGTCTACAAAGGTAAGTTTTCCTTATGAATTCTGCTTTGGCAGCTAGTGCTCCCTCTCGGGTTCATTTACTATAGCTGTGGTTGCTTGTCTCACAAAGGGCTTGTAGGCATTGAACATTTAGCTGGTCCCTTAAAGAAATTCTGTACCCCTATATTTTCCCTACATACTCAGTTTTGTTCCTTATTCCAGTGTCATGTAAGTTATCTTAGTGCTAACACAGAAGTCATAGTGTCCTAAGAGAGGCACACAGTGTCCTAAGAGAGTGGTCATGTGATAATTAGATAAAGCAGAGTTATTTTAAATACTACTTTAAATTTTTGTTTTGGCCTGTAAGATATACTTCTAGGGGTATGCTATCTTTAAATCATGTATAAAAGCATTTCACATCATGAACAGCAGGGGGCAGTATTGTATTCTCAGCCTGCTGCAAAGTCCTCCTTTCTTTCTAGATGAACTTAATACCCAAATCATTACCTCCAGGAGAAAGGCTTTCACAGCTCCCTTCCCAAACCGGCACAAAGGCTGCTGCACACAATTCCTCTACCTGGAATTGACCCTCTGGATAATGCCTTCTTGTTTTTTTTTTTTTCTCCCTGTAATCACCACACTGATGCTGGGACTGTTTATCAGGAACCAAAGAGCTTTGACCTTCATAAATTAGGATGTTGTTCCTTGAGATGATCCTAATTGGGAGGGGCGAGAGCTCCTCCAGGACTCACTCCAGCCTAGCTCTGGGATTGTGTTAAATTGAAGAGCCTTTCTAAGAGCTCAGTGGGGCCTATCCATCCAGAGGTCAAAATAGGAGGGTCTGGTTAGATGAATCCAGCTCTCAGACAGGTTTTACTTTTTTAATTAAAAAAAATATACTATTGATTTTTTACAGAGAAAAAGAAAGAGGGATAGAGAGTAAGAAACATCGATCAGCTGCCTCTTGCACACCCCTTACTGGGGACGTGCCCTCATCCAAGGTACATGCCCTTGCCCAGAATCGAACCTGGGACCTTGCAATCCGCAGGCGGACACTCTATCCACTGAGCCAAACTGGCTTCGGCTCTCAGGTTTTAATTGGCTTAGATATTTTTTGAAAAATTATATAGTTGTTAGTACTTTTTTTAAAATCCTCACCCAAGGATATTTTTTTCCATTGATTTTCAGATGCTGTAGAACAGAGGAGAGGATGGAGAGGGGAGGAGAGGGAGAGAGAGAAAATTAATGTGAGAGAGACAGATTGATTGGTTGCCTCCTGCATGAACCTTGATGGGGGGCCGGGAATCAAACCTGCAATCCAGATACATGCCCTGTGACCCTTTGGTGCATATTGAACCTGTGACCCTTCAGTGCATAGGCCGACACTAACCACTGAGCGACACTAGCCAGGACTATACAGTTGTCAGTAATTAAACATTAAGAAGATCTTGGATAATAATCTGGACTTTTGACTTGAAAATGTAGGTTTGGCTAATCTGGGCTCAGTACTGCAGGGTGGTGGTGAACCTGTGCTGATCAAGCTCCCCAGTTCACTGGCCAGGCCTGCTGGCTTCTGTACCCCTATATTTTCCCTACATACTGAGTCATCTGCCAGCCTGGCTTCTGAGTTTGCAACCTGCTCCAGGCTATAATTCTGCTGCCTCCTGTTACCTGTTTTCTCTTGTTCTCTTCTAACCTGTGTCTTTCAGTTTAGATGCCTCCTGTCCTAGCTCTCTCCCTCTGAGCAGCTGTCTCAGTTCCTAACCCTGCTAACCGTTGTCTGTTTTTTGCCTTTCCTTCAATGACGAGTCCCGTGTTCCTTATTCCAGTGTCATGTAAGTTATTAACCTCTGGTTTTTCGCTTTCTTAATTTATCATTACATGTATACTCAGGAAACTTGCTTAAGAATGTAGCTTTCATTGTAGTCTAGCTAAACACACTGCTGATAAGTAGGCTTTCTAATGCACTATTAAAGTTGAACTGAGTTAATTTTATTAATCATAAAAATAGCGTAAGAACTGCCTTGACAAGTATAGTTTTATGAATAAAATAACCATTTTTCAAGTATTTTCAGGGAAAACAGAAAAGATTCAGATAATAGTAACTGACCTTTTCATTATGGTTTCTTTCTTTTTTTTTCTTTTTTTTCTTTTTTTAATCTCCCCCAAGTTATTTTTGGTAGCTTGACTCTTTTTCTCTCTTCTTTTGTGAATTTTCCCAGTGGATAACCAGGCCATGCTACATTATATCAGAGATAAAACTGCTGTCCCTTACTTCTCCAATTTGGTCTGGTTCATCGGGAGCCACGTGATCGAACTTGATAACTGTGTGCAGACTGATGAGGAGTAAGTGACCTTGTGGGGTACTTGTTAGGTAGACAGAGTGATTAAGGGAGAATTTCCTTTTCACCGAGGAAAAATAAACATCAGAACAAAACTTACTTGCTTCTGTATAGGCATAATATGGACTTCCATACTCTGAAAGGTTCCACCCACCTGTCTACTTTTTATAATAGTGGAAAACTGGAGACAACTCAGATACCTTCCAGAGAGGATGAGGGTTACTAAATTCAGTACACCTGAAGATGGGTGATAGGCAGCTGGTAAAAAGATGAAAGTGATCTGTCAGCTGGTAAATGAATAAACAACATGAATTTGCATACAATGGAATAGTATTCAGCAATCAAAAGGAATGAAGCACATATACATGCTGCACCATGGATGAACCTGGAATGCATTATGCTCAGTGAAAGAAACCAGACACAAAGGACCACGTATAATTGCATTTATATGAAATGTCCAAAATAGGCAAATCCAAGGAGATAGTAGATTAGTGTTTTGTAGGAATGGAGGAAAGAGGTTTATGGGGGAATTGGGAAGTAACTGGCTATGAGTATAGGTCTTTTTTGAGGGGAGGGGATAAAAAAAATGTTCTAAAATTGATTGTGATGATGCTTGGATAACTCTTCAAATACACTAAACCCATTAAATTTTGTGATTAAAATGGGCAAATTTTATGGTATATGAATTATATCTCAATGTATCTGTTTTTGTTTGTGTGTGGTTTTTTGTTGTTGTTTGTTTGTTTGTTTTAAGATGAAGATGGTAATTTGGGCCCTAGAGTAATGAATAGAAATTCCAGACAAAGATTTCTCCAAACCGGCACTCTCGGTCTCTTGAACTAGCTATTTTCTGTTGTGGGGCTGTCCTGTGCGTTGTAAACTGTTTAGCAGCATCCATGGCCTCTACCCACTAGATGCCAGTAGCACTCCTTTTGCAGTTGTGACAACCAAACATGTCTCCAGGCATTGCCAAATGTCTCCTGATTGCTGTCAGTTGAGAACCACTGTCCCAGAGTGACAGCTTTGCACAGACTAGTGAGAAGCACACCCAGAAGGGGTCAGGGCGATAGGACTCTGGAAAGAGATCCTCCAGGGGGAGGGGACTAGAGAGAGTGCGTAGTAGTAGATCTCTTGTTGACAAAGAAGCAAAGGGGTGGGAGTGGTTGGGCAGAGGTCAATGGGGGGAAAAGGTGACATATGTAATACTTAAAACAATAATGAATTTAAATTAAAACTTAAAAAAAAGCAAGGGAAGGTGGATGGCAAATCTGATGGGGCAATTTCATATGGATATGAGCAGGTGTAGATATGAAACATAAGGAGGCAGTTAACTCCAGAGAGAAAACAGGTTATACAAGGAAGGAAATGAACCCCTCGTCCTCTGTCTCTGCAGTGAATGGCTCTGCTAATGTCAACATCAATTGCCAATGTCTATTGGGGGGAAGGAGCGGAGGGAGCACAAAGGGTTCTGTCATAACATAATGCATAACATCATGCATAGAGGCTCAGTCAGAACATAGAGGTTCTCTCAGATTTTTAGGAGGAATTCTCTACAGAAACAACTAAAAGTTAAAAGGCACTTCCTGTGGAGAGTAGGCAGGGGTGGGGGAAGTTGGACCGGGAGCTGCTACTTTTTTCTTTTTTTTTTAATCAGCTTATCAGTACTGTTTGATTTTTAAACCCATCTGCATATATTGCTTTGATAAGAGTTTTTAAAAGTAAAGGTTTAAAAAGTAAAGGGCATTAAATATCCTACAGAAGAAAAATTTCCAGTGTCTTAAGTGGGGTAAAGCTTAAATGTTCTAGGTCTCAGGTGGGCTGTGGGTCCTTAGGTATTCATTATACGATTATGCTTTACAACATGTATTTGGCATAAATACTTACTGCATATCTTCTTAAAGTATAATAAAGGATGATTATCCAAAGATATATAAAAGAAGCAAAATTGATCTTGATTTTAAAGTAGAGATGGTTAGAAGGATAGAATACAACACCTGCATTTTACGTGCGACTATGGAGAGACAGAAATGTGGAGAAACAGAATATAGGGACACAAGTCCAAAAACATCATCTGTTAGTGGTGGAGCTAGAGGGGACTTTGCTTTTGTTTTTTGCTTTTATTTTCTTTCTTCTAAAATGGCCATCTATTACTTGAGGAATAACCATAATACAAACAAAGTGTCTTACCCTATCTAGATTACTTTTTGCAACAGAGACCACTTTAGGGGTGGGAAAATGAGCCCACCAGCTATGTTAGGAGCTCTGCCATCCTTTGTGAGGTTGAGACTGGCTCACCCATGGGGCCAACCAGCATGCTATTGCTTCACTGCAAGGAGATAGAGACCTGGTGGGGCCTGCGGTGGCATGTCATGTCCTTACGCTCCTGTCCCACATCAGCTCAGGGCCAGTGGGTCCCACGCAGCTGCTGAGGCCTGCTTTTTTCTTCGAACTCCTAGAGCATTTTAATTAGCAAGGATTTATTGCTCCATTAATATTGCTTATCGTGGGAGTGAGGGGATCTTGCTATATTAGCTAGTGGCTACTCTTGTGAAATGGCTTGCCAAGAGCTTAGCTGTTTATTTGCTGTTTATTCATCTTTTTTTTGTGGTTGTGGTGGTGGTGGTGGGGGTGAGTTATGCTGGGGCCCCCAGAGGGTGAGGTACCCCAGGAGTCCGATAAAATCCCCTTTCCCCTCTGTGTACCCCATAGTAGGGCAGGATAGATGTTTCTTGAAACTGATTCAGTTATTTGCTGTATGAATGAGTGCACTCGTGACCTAAGTCTCAGGCCATTGATCTAGGCCCAAGGGCTCTGAGCTTCGAATTCCAGACTGAGGTGGTCATTTTTATTGGCAGGCACCGGAATCGAGGAAAACTGAGTGACCTGGTGGCTGAGCACCTGGACCACCTGCACTATCTTAATGACATCCTGATCATCAACTGTGAGTTCCTCAATGACGTGCTCACGGACCACCTGCTCAACAGACTCTTCCTACCCCTCTACGTGTACTCACTGGAGAACCAGGACAAGGTGAGCTCTTGCGGGCTGAAGGTCTTCAGAAGGAGGGAAGGACAGTCACCTTGAATAGGGCTGAGCTTTGCAAGGGGCCATACCTTTGAGCCTGCGAGAGATTCCTTTCAAAGCACACTGGTTTTCTTTTCATTTCCTCTTATTTCCTGGAAGTAGGGGGAGGAGGGAGGGAGAAGAAAAAAGGAGGGGGGAGGAATATGTGTGTGAAGGGGGTAGGTTGTAAAAACTGTAAAAGTGAATGAGAAAAGAATACTGACATCAGAATGAAACAGGAAACCTCTATGAATTTAGGTTTTTGGCTTCTGTGCATCCTTCTCTTGTGGTGTTCTCATCCTTGGTAACTTTTTCTGGTAGTTGCCAGGGTTCATCAACTTGGAGAAGATCCAGCCAGCCACAAAACTTGCACAGAATGGACATGAAGGGATGGAACGCACTTAGGAAGAGCTCCCAGGGCAATGGCTGTTCCCAGTTAGCAGGCTCAGAGTCCCTTGTGGGGAGAATGCCTATTAAAAGTGCACATCCTCCGGTGTCTTCCCTTTTCAGGGATGCTAGTCCAGTGAGTCTGGGATGGACCAGAAATCTCCATATTTGCCGAAGCCAGTTTGGCTCAGTAGATAGAGCATCGGCCTGCGGACTAAAAGGTCCCAGGTTTGATTCCGGTCAAGGACATATACCTTGGTTGCAGGCAGATCCCCAGTAGGGGGTGTGCAAGAGGCAGCTGATTGATGTTTCTCTCTCATCAATGTTTCTAGCTTTCTATCCCTCTCTCTTCCTCTCTGTAAAAACTCAATAAAATATATATTAAAAAAGAAAGAAAGAAAGAAAGAAAGAAAGAAAGAAAGAAAGAAAGAAAGAAAAAAGAAAAAGAAAGAAATCTCCATATTTAACCTGCCCCCTCCTGCCCCAGCAAAGTCTGAGCTGATAGTTCTCTGCTTCTCCCATGAGCAATGCTGCTTCAGGGAGTGGAGGCATTCTGCCCAGTCCCTCCCTGAGTTGAGGGGCAGAGGCCTCAGCAGGACATGGGACAGAGCCAGATGTGTCTCACAGGGGTGCAGCTTTCTTTTTGGAAGTAGAAGATTATTACTAAAAATAAGTAATTGGAAGGAAATTGCAAACCTAACCAAGTCTAGCAGAGGCAGCTCCGGGAGGCAGAGAGAAAGCATGGGAAGAGGTTTTTTTAAACCTGGGTTTAAATTCTATCTCTTCCCTTTCCTTACTCTGTGACCTGGGACAAGGCAGTCAACCTTCTTGAGCAAAATGAGGGTTCTGAAGATCCTCTCAGGGTTGGTGGAGCTCAGTGAGGCTCAGTGCAAAGGAGAGGCTTTTTAGAGGCTGTAGTATCCCAGTCTTCCTGCCCCATTTTCAAAGCTCTTCCTGAGAATAGGGCCCTGGGGAGGGAGCGGAGGGGGTTTGAGGGCTTTCCTGGCAGATGGGACTTGGGCTTTCCATGTCCCAGCTGGGAAAAATTAACATTCTTGGTAATTTAAGGAGCCAATTCTTCTTTTGGGTCCAACCTCTAATCCATGACTAATGATGAAAGACTTCTCAGGTGGAAAAATCATAGTCTTGCAAATGATACCGAATGGGATTTGGTTGTGAATTTCTTTTGCAGAGTGGACTTTTGACTAGCTAGCGCCAGGCCAGAATAACTCAGGGTCCTGGAGAAAATTAGGGGACAGGATGCCTCTTCTCCAGACAGATATATTTTGTGCCACTCACTTGTATGACATGGATTTCTCTCTCTTTTCCCTCAATATTCAAGGGTGGAGAACAACGGCCCAAAATCAGCTTGCCGGTGTCTCTCTATCTTCTGTCACAGGTATGTTTGATCATTTGCCTATTTCCCCACCACATGTAGGGGACCTTGGAATGCTGCTGCCCCTCAGAAATTTCCCAGATCACATTGCCCTATCTTCTCTTTCTGCGTCCCCCATCTTGAAATAAGATAATAAAATAAATGGGAGTTCTGTTTCTAGACACTGAGTAGAGGTGCCAGTATCTTCTTCATGGTAGTGGATGGAAATTTAACAAGAAATGAAAAACAAATCTAACCTGGCACTTAGGTAGTTGAGTTTTACTATGAGGATCGAGGTTTCCAAAACAACCAAGGAGTGTTCTAAATACCTTGGAAATGTGGACTGTCTGGGTTTTATTCATGACATTTTGAAATAAGCCCCAAACTGCAAGACTATTGTGTGCATACACACAGCGACCCTGGTTTAAAAGACTTCCACTAACAAGGCTGTTTTTAAAGGCTTTTGTCATGGTTCTAGTTCCCAGATTACCTTCTGGAAGGTATCTTGTAGCAGTTCCCAGATTTCCATCTTAAGCCAATTTGTCTGCCTCCCCCCCTAAGTGTGTTTCCTTCTTGTAATTATGTAATATTTACAAGAAGGGAAAAACTCCATGGTGACCCAGTTACATAACTTTAAAAATATTTTTATTACAAGCAGTCCAGACTTTCAGGCCATCTCATTAGACTGTCAAGTAGTCAAACGTTTGACCAGAGCTCTGTTCTCACTTCTGCAAATGGCACAGGCATTTATTTGCTTTGCTGAGAGAATGTCCTTCTAACTTGGTCCCTGGGCCATTTTGAGTTTGAGGTGGGGCTGTGTCCCATTGGCCTGAGGAGAAAGATGCAGACCGGGACTCTTCCCAACGACTCAGCCAGTTGGGCTCTGCAGTGGCCTGCTCACTGTTCACTCCTAGTGTCTTGTTCGGGGACTCTGTTTGCTTGGAGCTCTGCACTGCTGCTCACTCCTTCTGAATGCCCCTCTGTGAAACAGAGCTCAGTGCAAACCCCAGTCTCTCCTGGCAGCTTTTTCCACCACCTCATTACAAATCCGCCAGCATCTCCGCTTGGGATTCTGGGAGTCTGGCAGGACCTGAGCAGGCCAGATGCTCAGCCACAGGAATCTCACGGAACACACCCTCAGGATGCTTCAGCTGTTGGAGCCTTGCACGGGCAGGGTCTCCTCCAAGGAGTGAGGGGTCAGACCACTCCTTTACACTGAGAATCCCTTTCCTCCTTTTTCTTAGTGAAGGACCAGCAACTCAGACACCCGATTACTTGTTTCAGTAACACACAAAAAGCACAGCTTATAATCTGGTGTACCTTAACCTGAGTAACAGAGTCCTTCCTTCCCTGTGTTTTCATTTAGCCTTATTGCAATGTTGCCCAAGTGTGTGAAAACCTTGAAGCAGGTATAAACCCCATGTTCTTAAGCCTTACGTCAGATCATCCTTACCAATTATTTTACAAGCACAGACACAAAACCAAGAAAATTCACATTGACAACATTGATTTAGTATGACAGGATTCTGTCCTGCTGAAACTATACTGTCCCTGGTAGGAGAGTGTGGTGCAGGTAGTCTGGCCCGCAAACGCTTCCACACACCATGCAGTGACTGGCTCCCGCTTACATGTTTTTCTTCATCCAGAGAGCAGGAAGGAATGAGCCCTGGGTGGGTCCATAGGTGGGAATCAGGCGACTTTTGTCCAGTGGGCTCTTAGTTTGGCACTCACTGAATGTGGACTGACTAAAAGAATAACTAAATAATCATTAAGGTCACGTCCACATAAGGTGCACAGTAGGTATTTGTGGAAAGAATGAACTCAGTGATTGAGATTTGTTTTGTAGTTAAGTGTGACAATAATTTGGCCATGTGAAGGTGAGAAAATTTACCTATCTCATCATCATCATTGCTAATAGTTGAATGCCTGCCAGAGCCCCGGACATGGATAAATTCATATGTAATTTCTATGATAGTAAACATGTTTTGTATATATATGTGTGTGTGTGTGTGTTTTTAGGTAAGTAGGTAGGTCTACATTTGGTTATTCTGCCTGTACCTTTAATTTAAATTGTATTTATTTTATTTAACAGTATATTCACCCTATTCAAACAATACAAAGTGACATGTAGGGAGGGGTCTCCCTCTGAACCCTAACCCTACAGGCACCCAGTTCCACTGCCCAGAGGCAGATGGTGTTTCCGTTTCTGCCTTTAATGTGTGTGTGTGTGTGTGTGTGTGTGTGTGTGTGTGTGTTCACTTAAAAAAAATTTTTTTTTTAAGTTAAAAAGTTCAGATAGGTAAAAACCAAGTTTCTTTTCTAATTTTGTTCAGCCCCCTGATTTTTATCCCTGGAGACAACTGTAGTTACAGGGTTTTCCTCTGTCCTTCCAGAAATGTTCTCTACCAGGAGTTCTCAACTGGGAGTGATTTCAAAACCTTTCTCCCCACAGGGGATGTTTGGCAATGTCGAGATGTTTCTGGTTGTCATAACTGGGGTGGGGAGTGCTACTGGCATTTAGTGGGTAGAAACCAGAGATGCCACCAGATATCCTACAATGCGCAGGACAGCCCCACAATATAGGATTATGATCAGTAATGCCAAGGTGTGAAACCTTGTTCCATGTATATACATAAAAATAAATACATAGGTGTGTGCGCACACACCCTTTTTATATGTAAATAGTAGATAACCCTACACTGTGCTACACCGGTTTGCCTTTCCATTTTAAAGCAAAGTAGCAGGTGTGTCTGAACGAGCTTTGTGAGGCGGTTTTGAATACTCTGATTCCTAAAGCTGTTCCTCTGAATATTGGGCAACAGGGTGGGGTGGTGGGGCCACCCCTGATGGCCCCGTGCCTTCTGATTTTGCATCCTGGCACAATTCAGGCTATCTCCGGCTCGTGTGGCTTTTCTTCCCCCCAGTTTCCACACCTACCCATACTGCCATGGAATTCTGGTGTGCCGAAGCCCACCGCAGGGGTCAGCACTCATTCCAGTGGTGGATCTCTGTGCAGCCGATCCTTTGCCAAGTCCTTGATTGGAACAAGACTCACCAGCTCCTTCTTCCCGTATAACTAAAGTATTGGGCCGGTGCCTTCTAATCTTTTCATAATCGAATTTGACACTGAAATGCCTGTGGAGAGGAAAGAGTGTGCTGGTTTGGCTGCTCCTTCCCCACTGTGCTTTACTTCAGCTGGATTTGGCCTCACCCAGCCATGAGGGACAGTCTTGCTTTTAATGCATTTCCTTCCGCTGAAGAAGAGCAGCCAGCCAAATAGGCAACAGTCTGAATGAAGGGGCGGAAGGGGGTGGGGGAGAGGGCGCAACCCTAGAAGGAGAAACGTGTAACTCATTTTTCCTGAATGTCACCCATTCTTTGGATTTTGCATCACAGAGATTACTACTTAATATGGGGCTTGTGTAGCCCAGTATCATTGCAGATCAAGAAAGCAAGAGGTTGAAAGACTGCACACTTTAATACAAATCCCATTTCTTCTTTCTCACCAGGTCTTCCTCATTATACATCATGCACCCCTGGTGAACTCGTTAGCTGAAGTCATTCTGAATGGTGATCTGTCTGAGATGTACGCTAAGACTGAACAGGATGTTCAGAGAAGTTGTGTAAGTCATTAGTGTTACGACTGTTTCTAGACCCTGATAAGAAGCCATGGCTCATTTTGTTAACTTGTGTGTTTCTCTAAAACCGGAAACCAACTTTCTGCTTACAGCAACAGTGACGTCTAAACTACTATGGGATTCAGGGAACCTAATCAGAGTCTTGAAATGAATACCCAGGAAAAGCTGGGGGTCTATACCAAGAATAGACTCAGTGAATGTATGTTATTATTACTTATTTTATTTTCAAGAAAAATGATTTAAAATATAATGTTACATGCAATAAACATTAATACTTCAAGAAAAACTATTTAAATATATTGTTACATGCTGTGTGTTATTGAACATGGAATTGTCTCAGGTTGTATATTTATTTAGACACTGTTATGGGGACAAAATGAGAGAATACCTTGCCTGAGACACCAATAGCTATAGAGGCTGGTTATGGGACATCTATGTAGAGATAGGCCCCACCTGAGGGCAGTAGGGAGTGTTGGGGACTGGAGCAAATTGGAGTGTATGCGTCCTTTATGAGCAGCTGCTGTTCCACCCCAGACTGCAGTCATTCTGCAGGAATATGGATGCAATATTGCTAGGTTTTCTCATATTTCCAGAGAAGCTGGAAATCTGCATTTTGATACAAAATCTCCCAGGATTTAAATTATCACTCAACTGTGGCCTAAACAGGACATAATGTGGTTTGTGCACCTTTGTGCATTTTGTGCTCTGCCAAAGGAAAACACTGGCTGACCAGTATAATGATTTCTGAGGCTTTCCCAGCTTGGCTCCTGTGTATCTTGCCTGCCTTCACTTCTCCCCTCCTGCTCATATGTAATGAGCTCCAGGCTACCTTAGTACTGGTCCAGTTTGCTTTTCCCCAGTGTGCCCATGTTTCTGCTGTTGTACCTGTGTCCTTACCAAACCCCAAATTTGGAAGGTCCTTGCTGCTGGTTCCCCCTTAGCAAAGATCTTACCAGCTTTAAGCAGCTTATGGCAGGCATCTTGTTTGTCCGTTGTGTCTGCTGCAGTGTGGACTGAGCAGACATGTCTGAAATGAGCCCTGAGTGTAGGCACACAGGTAAAAGGCTGGCCTTGCCCTTGGGCAGTCAGTTTTATTTCCATATCTAAAGAAGTGGGTGGAGGGGGATCCTGTTGCATGAAAGGCCAGAACTGTACAGTGTACCATTTATTATGAGAGTCCCCTGTCCTTCTTGTTTTTTTGGTGTAGAATAGCTAAGCCTGGCCATTTTTCTTTAAGGGAGCATTTGAGCCTCTTAAAAGGTTCCCAGAAACTTTCTGTCCTTATTGGTGGTGGCATTAGTTCAACTGTATTGAATGGGGCCTTTTCATGGCCCCTGTGTGGCCCGTCCTCTCTTTGATTCATTCAACGAGTGTTTCTTAAGTCCTTTCTTTGCACCTGGCATCATGCTACTTCTGGGGATATAGAAAATTCTAATAGCCTCTGTCACATTGGAGCTTTACAGTACAGTAGGAGAGACAAATGTTGATCAATATACAAATAACTGTACTATCTCGAATCTTCTAAGTGCTCTAAAGAGAAGGTGTAGTGCTTGGTGAGAGGATTTAACCTAGAGATGGTGGGGGTGACAGTGTGGAGCAGAAAACACTCCCTAAATGGCCCTAATGGTCCTTGTCATGACACATGGTCTAGAAAATGTGGAGCTGACTTAGTGTTTATGACTTGGTGTTTAATGAATGCAAGTAATGGCGACAGAATCAACAGGGCTGCTGAGGACCCTGCCAGCCAGTTGGTTACTGTGGGCAAGTTGTTTCAGCCCAGATAGAAAACAGGAAGAGCAAGCCCTACTCCAAAGGGCTCCTGGTGAGGATAGGAAGAAAATACACTTAAAGTGCTATCAATTCTGCACGTTGCAACCCAGTCCTCAAAGTTGTTTGGTTTGGTCTTCATGTGGATAAAAAAAAATTTTATGAATTAAGAAGTTTCACTGAAAATTGATTTCAGGATTGTCTTGAACAGTCAGAAAATCTGGTCCCGTTGTGCATATGTTTCTGCAGGAAGCATCTCAGAGGCTGCCCCATCACATGAGGCATATGTTTGCCTTTTAGTTTCCCTAATCCCCACCCAGCCCGCACTAATTCATACTATGTTTACATGAAAAACAAGTTAGAATGTATTGGGTCCCTTTGGACTTACTTTCGTCTTGTGATTTCCAGAACCCAAGATAACTGCTAAGGCTTCATCAGAGAATGACTTCCTATGTGACACTGCTGAGGTTAGACTTGGTTTTCCAAGATAGACCCCAGAAATGGTTGGGGGTGCTAGGATTTGCAGGTGTGTGTGTGTGTGTGTGTGTGTGTGTGTGTGTGTGTGTTTAAATTGATTTTAAAGAGAGGATGGGAGAGAGAGAGAAGCATTTGATGTGAGAGAGAAACATCAATTGGTTGCCTCCAACACTCCCTGTTGTCTGGGGGATTGAATCTACAACCTGGGCATGTGCCCTGACTGGGAATTGAACCTACCACCTTTTGGTGTACTTGATGATGCTCCAAACTACTGAACCTCACTGGCTAGTACAGCAGGGTTTCTTTTTAAATTGAAATTGATTGGCATGCCCTTGTAAGAAATAATAATATTCTTTCCCTAGCTTTTCTCCATTGATAACATTTTGCAAAACTTTAAGTACCGCAAGCAGGATATTGACATTGAGATATGGGGTTTACCATTTGAGCAAAAGCTAATTGCAGAAAATTACTGGTGACTTCTCAGCTTCGGATACCCACGTTAGTCAAACCATCTAATCAAAGGGAGAATGTAGGAGATTTGTTCTTTTTCCCTATGGCCTCTGCTTGGGATGAAGGTTGTTCCACCAATGTGATAGAGGCACAGTGCTCACTGTGGTGGATTTCTGAACTGAAAATGAGATTTTTCTGAGCGTGGAATCAATTGCCATCCCAAGTGAAAGTGTCAGCTTTCTACTTCCGGTTTTTGCCTTTCCCTTGGTGTGAAATCAAAGTTTGTTGTATTCTGATGACATTTGGGAAAAGTGCAGGTAAATCTCATTTATGACTTGTTTGACAATAGTCCTGGTAAGATTTACCTTCCTTCCCTCAGAGCAAGAACAGTCTCCTATTGTTTCCTGCCTAACTCGGATGTGGTTTGGTCATACTTGTTTTAAGTTTCTTGGTCTTTTTTAACCTACTTTCTCCTTCCCGTAATTTGTAGATAAGTTACTGGTATTGCTTCATTTTTACCAGCAGACCTTTCACAAAACCAAACCAAAATTGAAGAGAGAGAAGCAGAGGGAAGAGCAGAGTTATTTGAAAAGTCTGTAATTTAGGGTTAAATTTAAAATACATCAGCATGGTTAGATAAATGTCGAATTGAAATTCATCTGTGCATTAAAATACTATGGTTCCTGCTAAGGGATAATTTCTTGCTATAATTCTAATGCAGAGCAGGTAGTATGTTTGTTTCTTGTCAGGGAAATAGAATAAGAGAACACTAATTCTGAAACTGCTAACATCTCATTATTCTTGCAATATGAACATATAGATTAGATTATGGGATATGCCTCATGACCTATAGGTATTTTTTTTTTTTTTAAGTAGGGACTTTTTTCATCCTGGGTTTCTGTGGATAGATTCCTTAGTTCTTGTATTCATTTATTCATTCATTCCTCATCAGAGACTCAATGGTGCACAAAAACAAACACACACAAAAAAATGACCCCTGCCCCCATTGGGCTTCCTATCCCCCATGGGATGACTTGGAGATGCCTGCATCACTTATGCCAACATGGGGCTTGCCAGAGAAGCTCAGTGGGCACTCACTGTAGGAATGAATGACTCAATGGGTGAACTGGTGATGGGGTCATAAGGGCCCTCGTGATGCTCTTAATGACTCTCAGAACAGAAATAGCCTCGGGGCCTACCCCTCATATGCCACCTTCTCTTTGCTCACAGGAAGGCTTTGGGGAAGGAGTGTGAGAGAGGGTTGCTGTCAGTGCTGTTCCACATTCCACCATAAGAGGCAGTCTGGTGGAGTGAGTTCTGGGCTCCTCAGATGCCAGCACCTCATTAAGCTAGTTGATCCTTAGGGCAAGTTAGTCCGCTTCTCCCAGTGTCAGTTTCCTCACCTCTGCAATTAGAATAACAAACATGGATTTTTTAGAGAGGATTAAATGCAGCATAAAATGGTTATTCCAAAACCTGGCACACATCAAGACATACATGTTAGATGGTATCATTATCATGGTTTCTTAGTTTCTAAGGCTGAAATACAACCCTGTGTCCCCTACTTGGGACCTTTCTTCTGGATATGATTAACAGAGACTACTCAGTGCACCTTTAGGGAGGTGCCTTATGACCAGACACAAAGACACGGAGGGCCAAATGTTAGCAACAATGACAACATGATGACAGCACTAATAGTAAATGTGGCCATTTAGTGGCAGTGGTCTGAGCCCTCAGTGTGCATATGATCTCTGGAAAGTACAAATACTTAACCAATTAATGTGCATTGGCTGGCTATGAATTCAGAAAGAGGAAGAATTCGGGCAAAATAGTCTTGCTTGCCGAAACTGGTTTGGCTCAATGGATAGAGCATCAGCTTGGGGACTGACGGGTCCCGGGTTCGATTCTGGTCAAGGGCATGTACCTTGATTGTGGGCATATCCCCAGTAGGGGGTGTGCAAGAGGCGGCTGATCGATGACTCTCTCTCATCAATGTTTCTAACTCTATCTCTCTCCCTTCCTCTCTGTACAAAATCAATAAAATATATTTTTTTAAAAATAGTCTTGCTTGTCCCAAAATGAATATGCTGACTGACTGTAGACATCAATTCAACCAGTTGTGTTGGTCACCAACTGACTCTCTGGGGATCCTAAGGGTTGAGCTTATACCTAGAACGTTAGCTGCCTGTTCTCTGCGTGACCCCCATCCTTCCTGGGAGCTGGGCCCTCTGCTGGCAGAACACTTTGCCAGGGCATGGCCTGCGGAGCTGGCAGCTGAGAAAGTAGCAGCC